GTTCTTACTGATTTCTTGAGCCTTGATCATTCTAAACTCTGTCCCTTGTTGATCTGTAAATCTCCACTCCAACAATAAGAATCTTTTATTAGGAAATTTTTATTATTTTGATTTACTAAGCTCCTTGTGGGGAGCAGTGCTTGCACATAGTAGGTACTCAATAAATATTTGATAAATAAATGATTACGTGAATGAATGACCCACTTAGTTAATCAGTTTTAACTTAAAATATGTACAGTTTCTACTGGATCAAGAATTGTCAGTAATGTTGACAACTGAGAGTAAGAGAGTACCGAGAGTAAGTTTTAGGAACCCACCTAACTGTTAGCCTCTAGCAAAAAATAATGATTTTAGGCTGGGCACGGTTACTCACGCCTGCAATCCCAGTACTTTGGAAGGCTGAGGTGGGTGGATCACTTGAGGTCAGGAGTTTGACACCAGCCTGACCAACATGCTAAAAAAAACCTCTTTATATTAAAAATACAAAAATTAGCTGGGTGTGGTGGTAGCCGCCTATAATCCCAGCTACTCTGGGAGGCTGAGGCACAAGAATTGCCTGGACCTGAGAGGCAGAGGTTGCAGTGATTTGAAATCACGCCACTGCACTCCAGCCTAGGCGACAGAGTGAGACTTCATCTCAGAAAAAAATAGAAAAAGAAAATAATGATTTTGCCCTTCACACTTAGTGCACACAAGATTGATGTGTATGAATCCCACAAATATTTATTGACCATCACCTGCTGTATCCCAGGTGCTTTGCTAGATGCTGGAGTTCATAAGATAGCAAGATTCTGCCTTTATGGATCTTACAGACTAGTGGTGGAGGGGAAGAAAACAAGCAAGCAAATAAATAACATTTTGATAAGTGCTCTGAAAAAAAAATTGATCGTTATGATTAGGAAAACAGAAAAGGTCTTAGTTTTAATAAACAGGTGAAAGAGACCCTCTTTGAGGAAGTGAGTCATGCTGAGGAGCCATCATGCTGAGAGGGCAAGAGCGGTGGAAAGAACAATCCAGGCAGAGAGAACAATATTGCAAAAGTCCTCAAATGATAACAGGCTTGTCTGGTTTTGAGTAACTCAAAGAACGCCAGTGTGAGCAAAGGAGGTGGAGTGACATGATATAAAATTAGAGAGGTAGGTAAAAATGAAATCGTGCACAAACTTTTATGTGCCATTAATGCATGAATGAACCTTTTAACTTTGTAGTGCTCTCACTTAGTGCAGCTGTGCCACTTAGTATTCTGTAACCATGGTCTTCTGTTCAAAGCTGTATCTGTATATTGACTATATTAGGCAGACATCTACTGGGGTCTGGTTCTCAAAAGTGGTGTCTTTCAAGTTTTTGCAGCTTTGTTGTCAAAACAGGAGTGAGGGCTGTCCAAAAACAGTTGGCCATGCCATTAGCATTTGGAGAGCTAGCAGCCTTTACATATATAATAATGGGAGCTACCACTTGAGTTTTATTTGATTCTCTAAATTTGTAGTTTTTGTTGAATAGTTAATTGTTGCTGCTTTTGTTTTTAAACCTACAACTGAATATTGTTTTTGTATACACACATACACACACACACACACACACACACACACACACACAATCTGTACTTTAAAAAAAATGCCTGGCTTTTTAGTCATAGCTATATGTGTGGTAGGGCAGGCAGTGGTTGTGTACATTTTTAGGTGAGTTTGCCTTGGGTTCTATGGTGGTTACAAGAGCCTAAAAAATATTTAATTATTGACTAACTTCCCTCACTAGAAACTCCTTGAAGACCAGGACTTTGTCTTACTATCTTATCCTTCAGCAGCTGGAGTGGTTTCTATGCACATAGTTGACCCTGATATACTTACTGGTTTGCTGAATCAATGAGTGGCACATGTTAGAAATAATTTGGCTTAGTTGAAGAAAAAAGTGTTATTAAGCCCTATGAACTTTCTGGGTCACCAGACCAAGATCCCCTATAGTGCAAGCCAACTACTGCTCGGAGAAATTTGTGATTTCAGTACAGTACTTATTATAAACTCAGAGTTATCAACTAGCTAATCAAGCCATTAAACTTTCTAGCAGGGATATAATAAGAGTGTATGGCCAGTTGTTTGTAAGGTCTACTATTTTACCTCCAGTCCAATTCATCAAGTGGTTTGAAAATTGTTAAATTTCTAAAGCCACCCTATCATTCAGAGTACATTTTCCCTCATGTACATAGAGATCAGATATGACTGAGTTGTACCTCCAACCAGTATTAAGTATGGAGAAGTGGTCAGGAGCAGTGGCTCATGCCTGTAATCCCAGCACTTTGAGAGGCCTAGGTGGGTGGATCACCTGAGGTCAGGAGTTCAAGACCAGCCTGACCAACATGGTGAAACCCGTCACTACTAAAAAAAATACAAAAAGCTGGGCTTGGTGGTGCATGCCTGTAATCCCACCTACTTGGGAGACTGAGGCAGGAGAATTATTGAACCCGGGAGGTGGAGGTTACAGTGAGCTGAGATTGCACCATTGCACTCCAGCCTGTGCAACAAAAGCGATACTCCATTCAAAACAAAAAAAAGAAAAGAAAAAGAAAGAATTAAGTTATGGAGAAGGACAGAATTAAAGATCAATAGGTGAAAAAGAGAAAATGCCAGGACCAGGGCCAGAAGAAAATTGAACTAAAAATGGACTTGCTGGGGAAGATAAATTTAAAAGATCAAATCAATTCTTTATTTTCTTTCCCATCTTAAATCACCTATGTTCAGTCTGTTTTATTGCAGGCCTGCCTAGGATAATGTACTGATAACAGAATCTGGAAACTATTCAAATTTTTTTCCCTACAAGAATGATTAAAACAATTTACAAAGTCAGTTACTTTGTGTATTGTCATGTTGTGGTGCTTCCTTTTAGGAAAAAGGGTGGGTTAAGCCACAGTAGAAAAGAAGGTGAATATTGGTTGAAAGAAAATACCATCTGTAAAGTTATAAAACCTATTTCATTTATTTGTTATGTTTAAGAAAGTAAGCCCTTAAGAGTCTTTTAGTTTCCCCTGGAGCAAAGAGTACTATAGAAAATAAAGTTACTCTGGATAGTTAGGAAATTTGTTTTTGTTTTTGTTTTTAATTTATTTTTTGACAGAGTCTGACTCTGTTGCCCAGGCTGTAGTGCAGTGGCTCGATCTCAGCTCACTGCAACCTCCGCCTCCCAAGTTCAAGTGATTATCCTGCCTCAGCCTCCTGCATAGCTGGGATTACAGGCAATGCACCATCACACCTGGTTAATTTTTGTATTTTTAATAGACAGGGTATTTCACCATGTTGGCCAGGCTGGTCTCAAACTCGTGACCTCAGGTGATTCACCCACCTTGTCCTCCCAAAGTGCTGGGATTACAGGCATAAGCCACCATGCCTGGCCATAGTTAGGAAATTTGAACCCTAGCTTAGCTACTGACTCTGAGGAAGAAGCACTGGATGAAGAATTGGGAGATACAAGTTGTCATCTTGGTTATCTTCCATTAGCTTTGCTGCTGTGGACAAGTTACTTCAACTCTTCTTTGTCTTAGGTTCTTCATCTTAATGCTGGGGTTGCAGCAATAACTGTAACTGACCTTACTGTCTTCTAGACTGTCTTCTAAGTAGAGTGCCCTTAGGGAAAGGGATGAAAATTCTCTGATTTTGACCAGAGCACTTAAGTTTCTGTTGCATTTGTTCTCCTGCCCTGTTCTCAGTGGAAGTTTTCTTACTAATTTTCACTCTGGAGGACTTGTTGTTAATGCAGCAGGTAGTCAGTTAGTCAGGTCTACCTGATGGTGAACCCATATGGTGTGTGTATCTGCAATAGGAACCATGTCTAAGTGTATTTATGATAAGTGAAGATGAGGAGTTTAAGAACAGTACTGATAATACCAGTTATGTTGTTCACCTGAGAAGTCATTGTGTCAATGCTAGTCACTGATGTTTTGATTAAAACCTTAGTGGAATGAATCTATGATAGAAGGGGTATAAAACAAATTACTTGTCTTTATTATTTTATATGCATGGAAATGAGCATTTCTTTCTTTCTTTTTTTTTTTTTTGAGACAGTCTTGCTCCCAGGCTGGAGTGCAGTAGTGTGGTCTTGCCTCACTGAATGCTCCACTTCCTGAGTTCATGTGATTCTCGTGCCTCAGCCTCCTGAGTAACTGGGATTACAGGCCCATGCTCACCATAGCCAGCTAATTTTTATATTTTTAGTAGAGATGGGGTTGCACCATGTTGGCAAGGCTGGTCTCAAACTTCTGGCCTCAAACAATCTGCCTGCCTCCGCCTCCCAAAATACTGGGATTACAAACATGAGCCACCACACCTGGCCCCAAATTACTTGTCTTAAGACAGCCCAAGTAGCATATAAGGTACATTTTTACCTGACTACAATAATATTTAATATTTTCTGAGTTTTTCCAGGCTCATTGCCAAAGTCTCTAAATGCCACATCATTGTGTTTATTGATCCACATTAGTAACCCATTATTTGAGTAGAAAACTCAAGAAGCAATCTAAATGCTTTTGGAATTTGGAGGACCAGTTCTTTTTCTCAAGTAATTATGTTGTATTAAGAAAGGCATAACTTGGGGCAAGTGACAGTAAACAATTCACAGTGTAAGATTTATCAGAGCTCTACTGCTTTACAGTATGCCACATTGCAGGTGAGTCGTTTTTCAGCCTCTGGAGAAGATGGACTGGAGGAATTGGATTTAGCTCTAATTTCATTGGTATTATTAGTATGAGCTGTGAATTGTATATATGTCCTTTTAGGCCTTTAGAAAGAAGAATTGAAGACTAAAGTTGAAACAGAAAGATGTTTGAAGTGTTTGTTTTTAACCAAGTGTAAATTGAGCTACTCCTTGTTTTGCTAAAAAGCAAAACAAGTATATGTTTCCTTTGCCAATGTTATTTATCTCCTTGTAAATCTGTTCACTTAAGACACATCTATTTTCAGTTTCTTCTGACTTTTTACATATCTTTATATCTTTTAACCCCATCAATCCTCTAGCTTCAAGCACAAATGCCAGCCTGATATCTACTTCTTCTGCAATTGCCAATATTCCAGCAGCAGTAGCCAGCATCTCAAACCAGGTATGGTGCTACTTTTGTTCATTCTGTTTGATAAAGTTCATCTAGCATGCTTCTTCTTTCCATGGTCAGTTTGCCTATTTAAGAAACAACCAGGAAGAGTATGGGCTGTGGAGACCTTTTTCTGGATACCCTCAGAACTCGGACCCTGGATGGCATCTTAGACTACCATCTAGTTTCTCTTGTTCCTCTGTTGAGTCTCTCTAGAATATGGTTATGTCTGTTCCTTTACTATGTTTGTCTTCACTTAATACTCTGCCCTTACTAGAATGTAAGCTACATGAAGGTAGGGATTTTTTTTTCTATTTTGTTCGTTTACATATTGCCAGAGTATAGAAAAACGTCTGCCATTACATCAAAGGCACTTGATAAATATTTGTGGAATGAAGAACTCATTCTTTGTGAATTTTTTGAGGTCTACTCTTGATCGCTGTTATATTAACTCTTTATGCTTAGGAGATCACTGGTAACACCTTCAGTGTTCTAGAGTTTTTGATTTTTGTTATTTTGTTGTTTTCTCTACAGCAATTATCACCACCGTCTCCTTGGATCTTTTCCTGGCTACAGTTAACATTACTATTCTGGTTCTTTTTTTAGTATTTTACTGTTTTTGCCTTTTTTTTTTTTTTGAGATGTCTCTCTCACTCTGTCGCCCAGGCTAGAGTGCAGTGGTGCCATCTCGGCTCACTGAAACCTCTGCCTCTCAGGTTCAGCTAATTTTTATATTTTTAGTAGAGACAGGGTTTCACATGCAGGCCAGGCTGGTCTCAAACTCCTGACTTCAAGTGATCCTCCCGCCTTGGCTCCCAAAGTGCTAGGATTACAGGTGTGAGCCACCATGCCCAGCCGTGTTTATTCTTTTAGTCCACAAATATTTATTGAGTTCCCACCTGTGTACCTGTTATTTTTCTAAGGACTGTCTCTTTCCCTTTTATAGCTTTTCTTTTTGATCCTGTCTTTGAACGTGGACGATCTCTATTTAGTTACTCCACATGTTAATTAATTCATCCACAGGAATGTTTAACCACATAATGTCCATCTACTATCGCTAAAATGAAGATTCTAATCCTCCCTCATGACATTTACAGGCTTCCAACTGATTATGACTTTTTTTTTCTTTAATGTCTTGCTGTTTCCCTAAATTCACCATATCTAAAATCAGACTTTTATTCCAGCCCCTTTTCTGTCTCTTTGTCCTCCAGAAGTAAAACCACTTTTCTCTATGGCTTTTTAATTCTTGTCAGTGACACTACATTTTTCTTAATAAACATGGGCCTAAAATCAGACCAGACATCTTTCATTATTTTTCTCACAACCTTGCCCAATCTGTTCATTTCTCAAATTCTTTGAGAATAATTTCTTTTCCTTTTTGCTATCATCTTCCATGTTTTGGTATTTTCCCCTTTGATCCTGGATTACCATGGTTAATTGCTCATTTCATTTCCAGAGTGTGGTGGCTCACGCCTGTAATCCCAGTGCTTTGGGAGGCCAGCGTGAACGGATCATGAGGTCAGGAGATGGAGACCAGCCTGGCCAAGCCAACGTGGTGAAACTCCATCTCTAATAAAAATGCAAAAAAATTAGCCAGGCATAGTGGCGCATACCTGTAGTCCCAGCTACTGGGGAGGCTGAGGCAGAAGAATAGCTTGAACCTGAGAGGAAGAGGTTGCATGAGCCGAAGTCATGCTACTGCACACAAGCCTGGGCGACAGAGCAAGACTCCATCTCAAAAAAAAAAAAAGAGTAGAATGTTTCCTTCAAATTCTGTTTAAAAATTTTGTACATAAAATTGGGGGAAGAGGCTGTTGGAGTAGAAAAAGGGACATCATGTATATGTTTATGAAAATACAGAGGATCCTTTGCTCTCAGTAGTCTCCTTATCCAAAGACTGCTCCTGGGATATCTCTTGACTTTTAGGTTTCCACAGAATGCATTTTGAAAATCATTGATTTAGATTGGACACTGTCAGATAGGTAAATGAGAAGTCAAATTAATGTTTCAGGAAAATAATTATGAATAACAGGGAGAAGAAAGTGTCTTGTGTTGAGATTAATGTATGCTATATGAGTCTTGTTTTCTTATTTCCTTTGGCCTGCAGGATTATCCCACCTATACTATTCTGGGTCAGAATCAGTACCAGGCCTGCTACCCCAGCTCCAACTTTGGAGTCACAGGTCAGACTAACAGTGATGCCGAGGGCACCACATTAGCAGCGACCACATACCAGTCGGAGAAGCCTAGTGTCATGGTGCCTGCACCTGCAGCACAGAGACTTTCCTCTGGTAAGCACTGCAGCTCTGAAAACTTTGGCTTATGGTCACTTCATTCAACAGGTACTTTTAGGCAATGGTAAGCATAGTTTTGCTCTGGCTTAAGTCATTGTTACCATACTGTAGGCATTCCCTCTCAAGTGAGGAGTATTTAAATATTGGAAGCAGGCTATGGGTAGGCTGAATGTATACCTGATGCTGAGAACAGAACAGAAAAGTATCAAGAACTAAAAGACCATTTTTGATTCTTACTCTGCTCTCCCTATAGCTTTAACCCACTTGTCACCGGGAGCTTCAGCATGTTGTAATATTTTGTAAAAGTTGAAGGACTCCAGTTTTAGTCTGTGCAGGTTTTGAACTGCTGCTAAGGCCTCAGAGCCATAGTTCTTTCTATGTCCTGGATCCCTTTAAGATTCTGAGGAAAGCATGGTCCTTTTCTCTCAGAGAAATACATAAAATTTAACCTACAATTTCAGGAGGTTCACAGCTCTGAAGTGTAACAATGAGTTACAATGTCCAATTTAAAAACCTTTGACATAAAAGCTTAGACACATTTAATACACACACACACACACACACACACACACACACACACACACACACACACAGTTTTTATTTGTCTCTATATTTAATGAAAATTTGGTTGTTAGCGGCTGGGCACGGTAGCTCATGCCTGTAATCCCAACACTTTGGGAGGCCAAGGCAGGTGGATCATGAGGTCAGGGGATCGAGACCATCTTGGCCAACATGGTGAAACCCCATCTCTACTAAAAATACAAAAATTAGCTGAGTGTGGTGGTGCGTACGTGTAGTGCCAGCTACTCAGGAGGCTGAGGCAGAAGAATCACTTGAACCTAGGAGGCGGAGGCTGCAGTGAGCTGAGATTGCACCACAGTGCTCCAGCCTGGGCAACAGAGTGAGTCTCTGTCTCAAAAAAAAAAAAAAAATTTGGTTGTTGGTTTTCCCACCATGTAGCTCATTGAGGAAAGCGCTGTTTATCATTGGCACTGATGCATGTTTAGAAACAGTGCGATGTAACAAGTGAGCAGTTTTCTATGCGGTTCACCCTACCAGTCTGATAAGTGGACATACAGATGGTTGCTAGTGTTGATTGAAAACTAAGTTTTTAAAGTCATTTTTCTAAATACCTTTGTTTTTCATAACAATTTTAACTTTTAAATAATGGAGAATTTCAAACAAAGAGAAAAGTTGCAAGGCTAATGTGATGAATACATACATATCCATCATTCATCTTCAACAATTATCAACTTATGGGCAATTTTGTTTTAGCTATACATATCTAGTTCCCTCCCCAGATTCCAGGCATTGTTCTCTAAAAGGTGAATAGGTACTCGTCAACTTAACCACAATGGCATTATCCCATCTTTAAAAGTTCAATACTAATAATGTCTTAATTTTTTAATATCATCAAGTACCAAAATGTATTTCTATTTCTAGCTTTCTCACAAGTGTTATGTTTTATTTCCCTTTTTGTTTAATCAGGATTCAAGCCATTCCACAGTATATACATATTTCAAAACAATGTAAAGTATATACAGTTTTTATCTCATTAGTAAATAGAAATAATAAATAAATTGAAAATTTGAGGGTGGGGAAATTAGGATTTAAATAAGGCCCAGAAATTGTGATTGGTAGTTATGGGTATTTTGATTTCTCTTTTAACCTATAAATCTCCCATCTCTTTTTCTCCCCCTCATAGCTTGTTTGTTGAAGAAACTGGAGAGTTTATCCCATACTGTTTCCCAGTCTGAATTTTGACAGTTATATCCTCATAAGGTGGTTTAATGTGTCTTGCTGCCTTCTCTATTTTATTGTAAATTGGTGAATGAACAGTTGTTTTCAACTGGAGATTGGCAATGTGTGGAAACATTTTTGGTTGTTACACTAGGTAGGGGCGTGCTACTGGCATCTAGTGGGTAGATGCTAAGGATACTACTTAACCAAACATCCTACAATGCACGAGACATCCCTCCACAACCATTAATTATCTAGTCCAAAGTGTCAGTTATGCCAAGGTCAGAAACTCCGATCTAGAAGTTTGACCATGAAGATTCAGGTTCAGCTTTTTCTTGGCAAAACAACATGATTGATATTTTCTTCCATCATGGGGGAAGCATATAAAGTCTGGTTATAATTTCCGACGTTAACCAGTGCTGATGCTCAATGCCTAGATGTACATTTCCTAATTTCTTATGTGAGGTTTAGCTTTGTAACCTTTATCCCTGCATTATGACTCACAAGGACAGAGAGTCTGCTAACCCTCTTCCTGCTCTGATTCTTACAGCTTGTGACTACTGACAACATATATCTCATTTTTCCTTTCCAGGAGACCCTTCTACAAGCCCATCTTTGTCCCAGACTACAACAAATAAAGATGCTGATGATCAGTCCAGGAAAAACATGACTAGCAAGAACCGGGGCAAAAGGAAAGCTGATGCCACTTCTTCCCAAGACAGTGAATTAGAAGTATGAGAATAAACCCATTTGAGTTGCCTGCTTTGTTTTTCCCACTTCTTAAGTTTATCAAGCATGTTTTTGAAGCTCACAGAGATAATGTGGACTATGTTGCGTGCCCTTTAATTCCTGAAGAGAATAAACTGAATTGGCCAAGTGAAAAGAAAAATGTAAAAACAAACAAACAAACAAATTATTCTGTATATTCCAGAGGAGAACAGAAACAATTCATTATATTCAGAAAATAGAGGGAGTTACAAGTAATGTCACACTATTCTCTATTTAAAATTTTAAAAGGGTTAGGTGCGGTGGCTCACACCTCTAATCCCAGCACTTTGGGAGGCTAAGGTGGGAGGATTGCTTGAGGCCAGGAGTTTGAGACTAGCCTAGGCAACATAGTGAGACCTCATCTCTTAAAAAAAAAAACAACAAAAATTAGCCACACAACTGTAGTCCCACACCTGTGGTCCCACCTACTTGGGAAGATCACTTGAGCCTGGCAGGTTGAGGCTGCAGTGAGGTATGATCAGGCCACTGCACTCCAGCCTGGGCAACAGAGTGAGACTCTGTCTCAAAAAGAAAAGAGGAAAAGAAAATTAAAAGGAAAAGGACTAGAGTGCTTTTAGCCAAGTTTCTGTAAGACACAAACAGATCTGGTAACTTATTAATGAGACTGGCACTGATTTATTCTGTGGTATAGTACTATTTGAGTTTATTATGGACATACATTTGACTTCATTATTAAAGACCAGAAGGACTTGTAGAGTACTAAAAATGGAGTTTTTGTATTATCTTTTTGTTTTCTATTTTTCTATAGTGCTGTTATTTAATGAGGGGAAATATATGTTTAACAGTGAGTCCATTGATAAGACATAGGTGAACTGAGGCTGTATTTGAAGCCTCTCTTCCTCTTTTGTCAGAGGTTTGGAGTGAAGAAGAAAAATAAATTTCTGATATATTTCTTAGGAAAAACTGAGAACTCATTTTTTAATTGTCTAAAATATACATAAAATTACCATTTTAGCCATTTTTAAGTATACAATTTAGTGCTATTATGCATTCATAATATTGTATAACATCACCACTGTATATTTCTAGAACTTTTTCATGATTCCAAATGAAAACTCTGTACACATTAAGCAATAACTCCCCATTCTCCCCTTCTTCTAACCTCTGGTGACCTCTATTCTGCTTTCTGTCTGTGACTTTGCCTATTCCAGATATCTCATATAAGTGGAATCATAGAAAATTTGTCCTTTTGTGCCAGACATTTCATTTACCATATGTTTTTATGGTTCATCCATGTTGTAGCACATATGAGAATTTCATTTTTTTTAATGTCTGAATATTTTATTTATTTATTTTTTTGAGACGTAGTCTAGCTCTGTCGCCAGGCTGAAGTTCAGTGGCGCGATCTTGGCTTACTGCAATCTCCACCTCCCAGGTTCAAGCGATTCTCCTTCCTCAGCCTCCCAAATAGCTGGAATTACAGGCACATGCCACCACACTAGCTAATTTTTGTTATTTTTAGTAGAGACAGGGTTTTACCTTGTCGGCCCAGATGGTCTCGATCTCCTGACCTTGTGATCTACCCACCTCAGCCTCGCAAATTGTTGGGATTACAGGCATGAGCCACCACGCCTGGCCTGAATATTTTATTATATGTATATACCATATTTTTCCACTGTGGCTGCATGGTTTTATACTCTCACCAGCAATATATAAAGGTTCCAGTTTGTCCACATCCTCACCAACACTCACTATTTCCTGTTTTTTTGATAATAGCTATTCTAATAGATATGAAGTGGTATCTTATTGTGTTTTTTTGTGTTTTTTTTTCTTTTTTTTTTTTTTTGAGATGGAGTCTTTGATTTGCATTTCCCTAGTACAGTGGCATGATCTTGGCTCACTGCAATCTCCACCTCTCAGGTTCAAGCGATTCTTGTACCTCAGCCTCCCAAGTAGCTGGAATTACAGGCGCATGCCACCACACCTGGCTGATTTTTATAATTTTAGTAGAGACAGGGTTTCACCCTGTTGTCCAGGTTAGACTTTAAACTCCTGACCTCAGGTGATCCACCTGCCTGAGCCTCCCAAAGTGCTAGGATTACAGGTATGAGCCACCGTGCCTGGCGCTTTGCCCACCGTGGCTGGCGCTTTGCCCATTTTTAAACTGGGTTGTTTGGTTTTTCATTGTTGAGTTGTAGGAGTTCTTTCTATATTCTATATTATTAATATTCTAGACTATTATTCTAGATTATTAAGCCCTTACATTAATCAGATATATAATCTTCAAATATTTTCTCTCATTCTGTATGTCAGCTTTTCACTCTTTCAATACTGTCCTTTGAAGTACAAAAATTTTTAATGTTTATGGAGTCTGATTTCTATTACTGCTGTGCTATTGTTGTAATACTTGTTTCTTTTTGTTTTGTTTTCTTGGTTAATACTTAAGAATACAAGGTTATGAAGATTTTTATGTTTTTTTCTGAGATTTTTATTGGTTAGCTCTTAAATTTAGGTTGTTCTCCATTTTGAGTTAATTTTGTATATGGTGTAAGATAATGGTCTAACTTCATTGTTTTGAGTATGGATATCCAGTTTTCCCAGCAGTATTTGTTTAAAAGATTTTCCTTATTGAATGGTCTTGGCATTCTATGAAAAATTAACTTATGGTATTGACTGTGGGTGATACTAAAAGAAGGTAAAAATTAAAAGAAAAAAGAAACATTGATCATATTTGTAAGACTATTTCTGGACTCTCAGTTTATTCCATTTGTCTATATGTCCATATGCTAGTACTACACTGTTTTGGTTACTGTAAGTTTTGAAATCAGGAAGTGTGAATCCTTCAATTTTGTTCTGTTTCAAAATAGTTTTGGCTATTTGGGATTTCTTGAGATTTCATAAGAATTTTAGAATGCAGTTTTGTTTTTTTTTAAAAACGATTGAGATTTTAATAGGGATTGCATTGAATTTGCAGATTGGTTTGGGTAGTATTGTCATCTTAACAATATTAAGTCTTCTAATCCATGAACGTGGATGTCTTTCCATTTATTTAGCTATGTCTTTAATTTTCTCAGCAGTCTTTTATAGTTTTCAGTGTGTGTCTTTTGCCTCCTTGGTTAAATTTATTCCTTCTTTTTGATGCTATCACAAATGGAATTGGTTTTTAAATATCTTTTTAAAATTATTCATTGCAAGTATATAGAAATACAGCTGATTTCTGAATTTATTTATTAGCTTTAACAATTTCTTCTGGATTTTTTAAGGTTTTCTACATATAAGATCGCATCAGCCAGGCGTGGTGGCTCATGCCTGCAATCCCAGCCATGATTGAAAGGCCAAGATGGGCGGATCACCTGAGGTCAGGAATTTGAGACCAGCCTGACCAACATGGCAAAACTCTGTCTCTACTGAAAATACAAAAATTAAAAAAAAATTAGTTGGGCGTGGTGGCACACACCTGTAATCTCAGCTATTTGGGAGGCTGAGGCAGGAGAATTGCTTGAACTCAGGAGGTGGAGATTGCAGTGAGCCCCGATTGTGCCACTACACTTCAGCCTGGGTGACAGCGACACCCTATCTCAAACAAAAAGATTATGTCATCTGCAAACAGAGATAACTTTGCTTCTTCCTTTCCAAATTGGATGTCTTTTTCCCCTTTCTTGCCAAATCTCTCTGGCTAGAACTTGTAGTACGATGTTGAATAGAAGTGGCAAAAACAGGCATCCTTGTCTTATTTCTGATCTCAGGAGTAAAACTTTCAGTCTTTTAACACTAGGTATGATACTAGTTACGGATTTTTTATATATGGTCTTAATCATATTAATGACATTCCCTTCTATCCCAATAAACTAGGAATAGAAAGGGTGCTGAATGTTGCCAAATGCATTTTCTGCATCAATTGAGATTATTGTGTAGTTTTTTCCCCCTCTATTCTATTAAAGTGATGCATTACTTTGCATAATTGTTTTTCCAATAAGCCTTTTGCACTCCTAATTAATTTTTTTTATGTTGAAGGAACCATCTTTATATCCTTATGTCCTGGGAGCTAATCCCACTTGGTTATGATGTTTAATTCTTTTTTCTTTTTTTGAGACAGAATCTTGCTCTGTTGCTCATGCTGGAATACAGCTGATCTCGGCTCACTGCAACCTCTGCCTCCCCAAGTGATTCTCCTGCCTTAGCCTCCCGAGTAGCTAGGACTACAGGTGTGCGCCACCATACCCGGCTAATTTTTGTAATTTTAGTAGAGACGAGGTTTCACCTTGTCAGCCAGGCTGGTCTTGAACCCCTGACCTCAGGTGATCCACCTGCCTCGGCCTCCCAGCATGCTAGGATTACAGGCATGAACCACCATGCCCGGCCATGATGTTTAATTCTTTTAATATGCTGTTGAATTTGGTTTACCTCAATTTTGTTTAGTTTTGTAGATGTGTGGGGGTTTTTGGTTTTTAAAGGCTTTTTTTTTTTTTTTTTTTGAGACAGGGTCTCACTTTGTTGCCCAGACTAGAGTGCAATGGTATGATCCCTGCTCACTGCATCCTTGACTTCCCAGGCCCAAGTGATCCTCCTTCAGCCTCCTAAGTACCTGGGACTGTAGGCATGTACCACCACAACTGGGTAATTTTTGTGTTTTTTGTAGAGACGGTGTTTTACCATGTTGCACAGGTTTGTCTCAAACTCCTGGGCTCAAGCAATCTGCCTGCCTCGGCGTCTCAAAGTGCTAGGATTACAGGTGTGAGCCACTGTGCCTGGCCTGTTGAGTATTTTTATATCGTTTCATAAGCGATATTGGTCTATAGTTTTCTTGTAGTGCCTTAGTCTGACTTTGGTATCAGGATAATGCTGGCCTAATTGCATTAGTCAGGAAGTGTTCCCTCTTCTTCCATTTTTTGTAAGAGTTTGAGGATTCATGTTAATTCTTTAAATGTTTGGTAGAACTCACTATTGAAACCTTCTTGTCCTGGGCATTTCTTTGTTGGGATGTTTTTAGTTATGCATTCAATCTCCTTACTAGTTATAGTTCTTACCAGATTTTTTATTCCTTCTTGAGACAGTTTTGGTACTTTATGCTATGTATTTCTAGGAGTTTGACCATTTCACCTGGTTTATGCGATCATTTGGCATAATATTCTCTTGTATTCTAGTATTCTCTTGTAATCCTTATTTCTATAAAATTGGTAGTGATGACCCGACTTTCATTTCTGATTTTAGTCATTTGAATCTTCTCTATATTTTCCTTAGTCAGTCTTGTCTAAAAGATTGTCAATTTTTTTAAAGGTTGTCAATTTTATAGATATTTTTGAAGAACCAACTTTTTGTTGCATTGATTTTTCTCTGTTGTTTTTGTAGTCTCTCTTTTATTTATCTCTGAGCTAGCATTGTTAATTCCTTCCTACTGCTAGCTTTATGTTTATTTTGCTCTTTTTCTAGTTCCTTAAGATATGCAGTTAGGCAATAGATTTGAGATCATTTGTCTTTTTTAATGTGTGTATAAAATACATATATATGTATAATACATTTATAATTTTTCTTCTTAGCACTTTCACTGTATTCCACAAATTTAATGTTTTATTTCTGTTTTCAGTCACCTCAAGGTATATTCTAATTTCACTTATGATTTCTTTTTTGACCCATTGATTGTTTAAGGTTGTATTGTTTAATTTCTTTTTTTTTTTTGAGACGGAGTTTCGCTCTTGTTACCCAGGCTGGAGTGCAATGGCGCGATCTCGGCTCACCGCAACCTCCGCCTCCTGGGTTCAGGCAATTCTCCTGCCCCAGCCTCCTGAGTCGCTGGGATTACAGGCACGCGCCACCATGCCCAGCTAATTTTTTGTATTTTTAGTAGAGACGGGGTTTCACCATGTTGACCGGGATGGTCTTGATCTCTTGACCTCGTGATCCACCCGCCTCGGCCTCCCACAGTGCTGGGATTACAGGCTTGAGCCACCGCGCCCGGCCGTATTGTTTAATTTCTACATATTGGTGAATTTCCCAGTTTTCTTTCTGTTATCAATTTCTAGTTTCATTTATTGTAATTGGAAAATATACTCATTTTTTGTATTTTCTTTCCTCAGCGGGTATTTTTATGGGACTTGGATGAAACCATCATCATCTTCCACTCACTTCTTACTGGCTCCTATGCTCAGAAATATGGAAAGGTAATTTGAGTCTTCTCTGTTGTAACTCTCCCTCTTCTGACACATAACTATTTCTCTGCTACCCCTGTTGGCTGGCTTTTCACTTTCTATGTAAAACTTCAACAAATGGCTTGCAAATAGCTTGTATTAGGCAGGCTACATAGGCAGAATTGATGGTAAATCTAGAAACTACTAGAACCAGTGCTGAAAGCTGAAGATGTAGGAGAATGGCATTTTGTAAAGATTAAAGTGTAGAAATGAAGCTGAAAACAGAGCAGAGTCTCGAGAATTTTATTAATAAATTCCAGAGGCTGATATCTTATTCCTTAACACACTTTTAACAGCCCAAACTGAGCATTTTATTTAGCCAAATATATGCCAGATATTTAAATAAAATATATAGGTAAAATATCTTTCTAAAATAGATTACATGTCTTTTTAAACTAAATGCACTCAACAAAACTTGTTATATCTACATAGCAGTTTTAACAGGATGGGCTGTTTTGAGACAATTAGGCTATGTATTTCTATACTAAATTACCTCCTAGCTCATATTTTTCAGTTTCTGTGAATAAATTTTATAAAAATATCTGCTTCCAGCCAGATGCAGTGGCATGCACCTGTAGTCTCACCTACCCAGGAGGCTGAGGTGGGAAGATTGCTTGAGTCCAGGTGTTCAAATCCAGCTTGGGCAACTTAGCAAGACCCCATCTCAAAAAATAAAAATATCTGCCTTTCTTGCCTGTCCTGTTACTTCCAGTTATTTCATATTGTTACTAATGTTTTTGTTAGGAGAGTTTTTTTTGTTGTTTGTTTGTTTATTGATTGATTGATTGAGATGGAGTCTTGCTCTTGTCGCCCAGGCTGGAGTGCAGTGGCATGATCTCTGCTCACTGCAACCTCTGCCATTGGGTTCAAATGATTCTCTTCCCTCAGCTTCCCAAGCAGCTGGGATTACAGGTGCCCACCACCTGCTTGGCTAATTTTTGTTTTTCAGTAGAGATGGGGTTTCACCATGTTGGCCCGGCTGGACTCGAACTCCTGGCCTCAAGCAATCCTCCCACCTCGGTCTTCCAAAGTGCTGGGATTACAGGCGTGAGTCACTGTGCCCAGCCAGGAAGTTTTTCTTTTTGTTCTCCTGAGATAATGTCTCACTGTGTCATGCAGGCTGGAGTGCAGTGAAACAAACACAGCTCACTGCAGCTTTGACCTCCTGGGCTAAAGGAATTCTCCTGCCTCAGCCCCCCAAGTATCTGGAACTACAGGCACATGCCTCCATACCTGGCTAATTTTTTTTTTTTTTTTTTTTTTTAAGAGATGGGATCTCACTATGTTGCCCAGTCTGGTCTTGAAAGCTGAGGCTCAGGTGATTCTCCTGCCTCGGCCTCCCAAAGTGCTGTGATGATAGGCATGAGCTGCTATACCCAGCCTCTGTTAGTATTTTCTACAGGCTGTTAGTGTCTAATCTGGCATGCTCACAGAAGCATATAAGCTATATAACTAAACTGATTGTAAAAATATATAAAATTTAAAAAATATATATGTATAATATATATACACATATATACATATATAAAATATATATATATACATATATATGTGTGTGTATATATATATGTGTGTGTATATATATATATATATATAAAATAAGGCACGGTGGATCTCGTCTGTAATCCCAAAGTGTATATGAAAATTTTATATATTAGCCTCCTGATGCTTACCACAGGCTGTGTTCTTACACTGACAGTATAGAAAGAGGAGGTAGAGTAAACCTACTCCATATACACCTCAGCTCAGCCCCTGTGTCTGGTCTGTATTGTGAATGGGGGAACATAGGAAAAAAAACCAAAATTTTATATATTTACGCTGGGCGCAGTGGCTCATGCCTGTAATCCCAGCACTTTGGGAGGCCGAGGCGGGCAGATCACAAGGTCAAGAGATCGATCCATCCTGGCTAACATGGTGAAACCCCATCTCTACTAAAAATACAAAAAATTAGCTGGGCGTGATGGTGTGCGCCTGTAATCCCAGCTACTTGGGAGGCTGAGGAAGAAGATCTCTTGAACCTGGGAGGCAGAGGTTGCGGTGCCACTGCATTCCAGTCAGGCGAGCGAGACACTGTCTCAGAAAAATAAAAATTTATATATTTACATTTACACATAATATTATTTCATGAAAACTTTTTTTTTTTTTTTTTTTTACCTTATAAACAAACACTAGGCTTCATGGTAAAAATTTTGGCTTTGACATTTAAGTTCACCTTTGAGGTGAAGAGCATAAGACTGGGAGTCAGAAGACCAGAATGTAAAAATACAGTATATATATAATATATAACATATATATATAATATATATATAATTATATAACATATATATTATATAACATATTAAAATAATATATGACTATATTTACATATATCATAATTTATATGAATTATATATAAATGTATATAATTACATATATATTTTAATATAAATATATAAATTATATATTTATATAAATTACATATACATTTTACATAAATATATGATATATTTTACATATGTATTATATACATAAATATGTATGATATATTTTACATAAATATATAATGTGTAATTTATATAAATTCTATCACTGTATATGTAATATGTATGTAGAAACACACACACAGACACACACACACACACACACACACACACACACACACACACACACACACACACACACACACACGGTCTCATTCTGTTACCCAGGCTAGAGTGCAGTGGGGCGATCTCAGCTTACTGCAGCCTCCACTTCCTGGGTTCAAGTGATTCTCCCACCTCAGCCTTGGACTGCAGGTGTACACCATCATGTACCTGGGATTACAGGTGTGCACCACCATGCCCAGCTATTTTTGTGTTTTTTGTAGAGACAGGATTTTACCATGTTGCCCAGGCTAGTCTCAAAGCCCTAGGCTCAAGCCATGCACCTGTTTCAGACTCCCAGAGTTCTGGAATTACAGGCGCGAGTCACTATACTTGCCCAAATTTTATTTTTTATGGAGACGGGTCTTGCTTTATTGCCCTGGCTAGTCTAGAACTCCTGGCCCTAAGCAGTCTTCCTGCCTCAGCCTCCCAAATTGCTGAGATTACAGGTGTCAGTTAGCTGCCTTGCCTGGCCAACATTGTATAATTTTAAAAACATATTTTCTGTATTTATTTATCTGTATGAAATTACAAATTTCTAGAAAATAAAGTCCTGAAATGTTTAACTGTCCATGTCTTCTCTATTTTACAATTCTGGATTCTCATAACTGTGAATGAAATTGCATCAATGATAGTTGAAGCATAGTTGGGGGCCCATGTGTTTTGGCCTTTACCTAAAATATTTTGAAATTTGAAGATTAGAATCAGGACTGTGACTGCCAAATCAAGCTGATTTCTTCTTACTGTCTTCTAGGACCCAACAGTAGTGATTGGCTCAGGTTTAACAATGGAAGAAATGATTTTTGAAGTGGCTGATACTCATCTATTTTTCAATGACTTAGAGGTAAGCATTTGAAATTGTTTCTGTGCTTCAGTGAGACATTTTATTCAGTAACTTTAGAGCCTTTGCCTGTTATATTTAGAAGATATGTGGTTAGATAGGGTGGATATGGAGAGGCCAGCTGGCCACTAAGGCATACATACATAGTCTTAGAGAAATAGTTGCTTTAGTTGGGTTACCACAGTTTTGATTCCGACCTTCAATTTTATTGACTCAAAAATTTGATTTTTATTAGCTTATTTGGAGGTGATCTAGCACTGGGGAAAGACCAACCCATCAGGCAAAACACTGGCATATAAACCAATATTCTGACTTAATAATCTTATTAAATAATATATATAAAGTGAATTTGATTATTTACACTCTCAATTATATTTTGACTTTTCTTCAATTTTACATTCTTAAAGGATAGTCTCCTGATTTATCAAATCTATAAATGGTTACTCTAACCCATCATATTTTTACGTTTATTGTTCATGTATAGGTTAACCTTGATATTCAGAGTAATGTTATAGTTAGGTGCCAGAAAAACCAGGAAACACTAAGAGCTTCATGGTGAAATTTTTTAGCTTTGATATTTTGAGTTCACCCTTGAGGTGAACATGGTGTAGTGGAAGGAGCACAGGACAGGGAGTCAGAAGACCAGAATGTGAATCTCACATGGAGAAAGTTATCTTCCTGTTCTGGGCCTCAGTTAAGCAGTCATCCTACACAGGAAACTACCAACAGTTATTACCATCTATGGAGAGGGATAAGCTGCTGGGACATAAAGGTGGGAGGGAGCATACTTTTTACTTCACGTACTTTGAATTTTGAGCTGTGTACTATATATATATTACCTAGTTTTGAAAATCATGAAAATTTTAAAGTAAAACAAGATAGGATTTTATAGGCTGGGCGCATTGGCTCGTGCCTGTAATCCCAACACTTTTGGAGGCCGAGGCGGGCAGATCACTTGAGGTCAGGAGTTCCAGACCAGCATGGGCACCATGGTAAAACCCCATCTCTACCAAAAATATAAAAATTAGCTGGGTATGGTGGCACATGCCTGTAATCTCACCCACTCAGGAGGCTGAGGCAGGAGAATTGCTTGAACCTGAGAGGCGGAGACTGCAGTGAGCAAACATTGCGCTACTGTACTTCAGCCTGGGCAACGGAGTGAGACTCGTGTCTTTCAAAAAAAAAAAAATGGCATTTTATAAACACAAAGTAATCTTTTTTTTTTAACCTTTATTTTATTTTAAGTAATAGAGATGGGGTTGCACTATATTGCCCAGGTTGGTCTCAAACTCCTGAGCTCAAGTGATCCTCCCACCTTGGCTTCCCAAAGTACTGGGATTACCAGTGTGAACCACCACTTCGCCCAGCCAACATAAAGTAATCTTTTTTCTTTTTAAATAAATGTCTCTTCTACCCAACAGACCATGCTTCAGTAAATTAATAGTGCCCCGAGCTCCAGTACTTTTGTATATACTCCATAATGCTTTAATCTTTCCTCAACTTCATGTGTTGATAAATTAGGACATCATAGTTTTTATTCAGCAAACATTTATGAAAACCTACTACATGCCAATAATTATTGCCAAATTGTATTTGTAATGATTTTCTAGACATAGTCCTCACTCAGGACTGAAAGTTCTGTGAAGAATTTGACCTGAATGTGTTCCTGCCCCCCAGGTCAGTGCTTCTCAACTTTAGGGGGCATAAGAATCACCTGGGGAGCTTCTTTAAAGTGCAGATTCTAGGACTTCACTCCCAGAAATTCTGATTCAAGTAGGTCTGAGATTGACCCAACAGTATGCATTTTTAAAAAACTTCCCCAGAGGATTCTGATGCAGGTACCCTAGGTGGTATCAGAGGAGTACATCCATCATTTAGGCAGTGGGCGGCATTTTATGTCAGTAATAGCATGGGCTTGGTGGAAAGAGCCTTGGATTAGAAGCAGGGGGAAAAAAAGAAGCAGAAAAAAATAACGTAGGTTATTTCTGATCTCTTTCTACAACTCATTAATGGTATGACTTTGAAAAAATCATTTCACTTCACTTTTAAAACATGAGGAGATTGCCTTAGATGACCTCTTCTAATTCCTGACTTTGAAGTTAGAAATTTCAGTCATTCTGGGTTTTAATACCGCATTCTACCAGCGTCTGCTTTGTCTGTAAAAATGTATTGGGCACAACCTACTTAACAATCAGAGAGATGCAAAGGAAATGTGAGATGTGGCTCCCACCCCAAGAGACCTGTACTGTAATAGGACTTACAGTCTAGTGTAGGACATAGGAACATTTGAAGTATAAGGGAGCTTGTGGTTATTCCCATGAGCTGTTGGAGAAATGAAATATTAAGATAAGAGTAGAAATAAGGGATGGGATAGTTACAGAATTCATGAAGACTGTGGGATGTGAATCAGGCCTTAAAAGAAATTAGACAGCAAGGGGTGTGAGAGTGATCACCCACTCGTAAGAGATTCCATAAGGCATTTCATCATCCTGCCATTGTATGTGGTCTTTGTATAGTATGTCATAACGGTAATAGCACTTCTACTCCCTGGACTGAAGTAGTGTGTTTTGTCTTTTAACAGGAGTGTGACCAGGTACATGTGGAAGATGTGGCTTCTGATGACAATGGCCAAGATTTGAGGTGATAAACACAATGATTGTTGAACACCAGTACACCTGTTATGTGCGAGATCTGTCTAGGTTTGGAGGAAAACAAAGATGAATAGAATATATCTCTGAAAGAACTCACAACCTCTCAGAGGACATAGAAACAAACATTGTTAACCATGATTTACAGTGTGAGAAAGTGGCAATAGAAAATGCTGTGGAGCATGAGAAGAAAGCTGATGGCAATAGGGAGTAGGTAGTGCCAACATTGGAGAAGCCTTCTCAGTGGAGTAGCATTAGAACAGAACCTTAAAGAACAGGGTAGCAAGCCAGGTGCAGTGGCTCACCCCTGTAATCCCAGCACCTTGGGAGGGCAAGGCGGGAGGGTCACTTGAGTCCAGGAGTTCAAGACCAGCCTGGACAACATAGGGAGACCCCAACTCTACTGAAGGGGAAAAAAAAAAAAAAAAAAAGGATAGCAATGATGGGATGAGGAAAACCATTCCAGAGTAAAGGACATACTAATTTCTCTTTGGCTAGATTTTCAGTCAGGACAATATGTGGTTCCAGACTGAGTAGTTTTAATTGCAAATAAACACTGGAACTTCATGAAGGAAACTACCTATGGGAGTCTGTTTGTGTCAGTAATAATCTTCTGTAAGGAAATCTTCAATATTTTATTATAGTGAAAGCTAAGCCAAGGAGATCTCAGTGGTAAAATGCTTGCCCAGGCTCCTCATTCCTCTTTCTTTTAGCCCAGTAGTCTTAGCTAGGAATGTTCTAAAAGGGCCAGGCAAGATGGCTGACACCTGCAATCCCAGCACTTTGGGAGGCCGAGGTGGGCGGATCACCTGAGGTCAGGAGTTTGAGACCAGCCTGACCAACATGGAGAAACCCCATCTGTACTAACAATACAAAATTAGTCGGGCGTGGTGGTGCATGCCTATAATCCTAACTGCTTGGGAGGCTGAGGCAGGAAAATCGTTTGAACTCAGGAGGTGGAGGTTGCGATGAGCCGAGATTGTGCCATTGCACTCCAGCCAGGGCAACAAGCAAGAGCAAACCTCCGTCTCAAAAAAAAAGAATGTTCCAAAAATTTATCTAGCTTAAAGACTTATTAAAAAAAAAAAAAAAACTGTCACATATTTTCATATTAGTTTGTTTTAATGTTTATCTCTTTTTATAAGTAAAATGTTCTTCCCAGTAATTACCCCAGAATTCAGCGTCCTACCCATAAATGCTAAAATACAGAGCAGAACTGGACATACCACCTTGATAAGGACCTACTCAGGTAGAACTGAGAAGATTGGAAGGTTTCACTTTCAGGTGCAGCATCTAGTTGTACATGTTGTGGTGTCACATGGCACAATTCTTATAACGCTTTACTGTTCTTTTTAGGGAAAAGTCTGGTCTGAAGCAGTTTATATTTCTCTTTTACATGTGGCTAACCAGTAATTACCTATTATGTCTTGGCAGCTATATTTTCTTAAGCACAAAATCTCACTCTTAGCATATTGGACTCTATTTTAACTTTTGACTGAACAAAGTTGTTCTGTCAATCATTTTTAGATCTTTACTTATGAAATGTTAATCCTTCACAGTTGTATAATTGTATTATCTGTTGCTATACAACAAACTACCCCAAAGTTTAGTAGCTTAAAACAGTTAAACGGCCAGGCGCAGTAGTTCCTGCCTGTGATCCCAGCACTTTAGGAGGCCAAGGCAGGCCGATCACTTGAGGTCAGGAGTTCAAGACCAGCCTGGCTAACATGGCGAAACCTCGTCTCTACTAAAAATACAAAAATTAGCCAGGTGTGCTGGCATGCACCTGTAGTCCTAACTACTCAGGAGGCTGAGGCAGGAGAATTGCTTGAACCTGGGATGTAGAGGTTGCAGTTTGCCGAGATCACACCACTGCAACTCCAACCTAGGTGACAGAGCAAGGCTCTGTCTTAAAAAACAAAAAACAAACAAAAAATGGAACATCCTCTTATAGTTTCTGTAGGTGAGGAACTTAAAAATGACCTAACTAGTTTTTTCTTTTTTTTCTCTTTTTAAAAATATTTTTTTATTTTATTTATTTTAATGTATTAATTTTATTAATCTGTACTCAGTATCTTTTTTATTTTTTTTAATTTTTGGGTGGAGTGCAGTGGCACCATCTCGACTGATTGTAACTTCTGCCCCTACCTCCCCGACATGATCCTCCCACTTCAGCCCCTGAAATACCTGGGACCATAGGCACACATCACCACTCCTGGCTAATTTTTTGTATTTTTAGTAGAGACAAGCGTGCCATGTTGCCTATGCATGTCTTGACCTCCTGAACTTAAACAATCCACCCACCTCAGCCTCTCAAAGTGCTGGGATTACGGGTGTGAGCCACCACACCCAGCTTGTACTCAATTTCTCTTTTTTTCCTTTTAAGACAAAGTCTCTGGCACCCAGACTAGAGTGCAGTGGTGTGATCATAGCTTGCTGTACTCTCAACCTCCTGGGCTCAAGTGATCCTCCCACCCCAGCCCTTTAGCTGGGCCCACAAGCGCATTCCACCACACCCTGCTAATTTTTACATTTTTTAGAGAGGCTGAGTCTCCCTGTGTTGCCCAGGTTGGTCTTGAACTCCTGGACCCAAGTGATCCTCCCTCCTTGGCCTCCCTAAGTGCTGGGATTACAGGCATGAGTCACCACACGTGGCCTATTTAAAGGATTTTAAATCTAGAAAATCTGTTATTAATTTTTTTTTCACTGTTACAAATGTTATTTTGTCAAGGTAAAATATAATTTACCATCTTTATCATTTCTTAAGTGTACAGAAGTGGTTCTTTTTGGTTTTTTGTTTGTTTGTTTGTCTGTTTTGTTTTGTTTTTTCAAAGAAATAGGGCCTGCTCTGTTGCCCAGGCTAGAGTGCAATGGTACGATCATAGTTCACTACAGCTTCCTGGGCTCAAGTGGTCCTCTCACTTCAGCTTCCCAAGTAGCTAGGACAATAGGTACATACCACCATGCCCGGCTAATTAAAAGAAAATTTTCTTGGAGATGAGATCTCACTATGTTGCCCAGGCTAGTGTCAAAGTCCTGGCCTCAAGGAATCCTCCCATTTTAGCCTCCCAAATAGTTGGGCTTATAGGCACCAGCCACTGTACCTGGCCAGGGGTAGTTTTTTTTTGTTTGTTTGTTTTTTTTGACAGAGCCTAGCTATCTCACCCAAGCTGGAGTGCAGTGGCATGATCTCAGCTCACTGCAACCTCTGCCTTCCGGTGTCACGTGATTCTTCTGCCTCAGTCTCCCAAGTTGCTGGGACGACAGGCATGTGTCACCATACCCAGCTAATTTTTATATTTTTAGTAGAGACAGGGTTTCAACATGTTGGCCAGGCTGGTCTGGAACTCCTGACCTCAGTTAATCCACCCACCTCGGCCTCCCAAAGTGCTGAGATTACAGGTATGAGCCATCGTACCCAGCCCTAGGGGTAGTTTTAGTGTTTCTGGGGTTGAAATCAAGATGTTGGCTAGAGCTCTAATCATCTGAAAGCTTAACTGGAGCTGGAGAATGTGCCTCCAATCTCTGAAATGTGGCTGATGACAGAGGCTTTAGTTCCTCATTACACGTGCCACTCTATGGGGCTGCTTGAATGTTCTCACGGGACAGCTGACTTCTTCCAGAGCAAGTGCTCCAAGAGAGAGCAGGAGAAGCCTAGTCTCTGAAGCCTAGCACTATCACTTATCACATTGTGTTTATATTCTAAGTATAGTCCATACCCAAAGGGAGCAGAATTAGAAGAGATGAATATCAGAGAATTTGTGGACATATTTTGAAGCTGCCACTGACCTATGAACATAAACCAGCCAGCAGATCACTTGAGAAAACATCTGCCATTATCTTACCATTGTTAGCATTTTAGCCTATTTCATTTCATTATTTGTTCATGTTTCTGCTTTTTACATAGTTGCAATCACTGTGTGTGTATGTGTACTCACAAAATTTTATATTCTGCTTTTTTCACTGTGTGGTTATTTTCTGTCATTAGTGAAAAAGATGCCTTATCCCAAGTCAGCCTCTAAGGAATACTGGTGCTTGAATTGTTTCTACCTTTCCTTCCCTCTCTTCTCTCTCAATCCTTTCTTTTATAGAAGTAATAAGGGTGAGATAGAGAATTAATGAAAGATAGACTCTGACATACAGAGATTAAGGGGAAGAAGATTCTTTTTTTTTTTTTTTTTTGAGATGGAGTTTCGCTCTTATTACCCAGGCTGGAGCGCAATGGCGCGATCTCGGCTCACCGCAACCTCTGCCTCCTGGGTTCAGGCAATTCTCCTGCCTCAGCCTCCTGAGTAGCTGGGATTACAGGCACGCGCCACCATGCCCAGCTAATTTTTTGTATTTTTAGTAGAGACGGGGTTTCACCATGTTGACCAGGATGGTCTCGATCTCTTGACCTCGTGATCCACCCACCTCGGCCTCCCAAAGTGCTGGGATTACAGGCGTGAGCCACCGCGCCCGGCCGGAAGAAGATTCTTAAAGCCATTGGGTTACTTATCAGATACCAAGAATTCAACCAAATAGCACTCAACTAAAAACTTTATGCTGTATAAATCTTAATTTTTATTATCTTCTCTCTTTGCAGCAACTACAGTTTCTCAACAGATGGTTTCAGTGGCTCAGGAGGTAGTGGCAGTCATGGTTCCTCTGTGGGTGTTCAGGGAGGTGTGGACTGGATGAGGAAACTAGCTTTCCGCTACCGGAAAGTGAGAGAAATCTATGATAAGCATAAAAGCAACGTGGGTGGTAAGTGTGGCATATAACCAGTCTGATTCTCTGTTTCTTTATGGTTTCCTTCTTTCCTTTCCAGGGATTCCTTAGGGTTCCCCTGACAACTGCTTATAAATTATGCCAGAGTAACATGTTAAACTCCGTATTTTAAAAAAAAATAGAGATTTGGTTGAAACCTTTTGGGAGGAAGCTCTACATCTCTAACGGGCCTCTCTAAGCCTAATTTTGGAAAGTTCTCTTGTTCTTTTTGGACAAATGCCTTTTTAAAGGAAACATGTTCTGTAGACTATGTTTGATGAGGTGTCACAACTACTGTCAAGGCTAGTTAGTTGGGTGCCACATTTTTTTTTTTTTGGCTGGTTTATATAACTGTTAGGACAAGTCAAGTAGAACTAGCTAGTAAGTTTTTGCAGACAGAAACCTAGGTCCAGGATTGTAGGTTGGCAATATTAGTGTGTTGTGATTTGAAGGACCTTGGAAATTCTTTCTGACCAGAAATATTTCAAATGCCAGATGCCACTATGCCTAAAATTCTATTATTTAGAATTAATTAATCACAGATTGTTTGAATTAGAAGAGACAGAAGTCTAATCTAAATTCCTTATTTTGCAGTTGAGAAAAGTGATGTCCGTCACAGGGCTAGTGGGGGCAGCCTATTCATGGTCACATTGCAAATTTGTAACCATACCACGTTTGAAATTCACATTCCCTAACTTTTTGGTCCATTGCACTTTCCTTTTTTTTCACCATGTTGGTCAGGCTGGTCTTGAACTCCTGACCTCAGGTGATCCACCTGCCTTGGCCTCCAAAGTGCTTGGATTACAGGCGTGAGCCACCATGCCTGGCCGCGGTCCATAACACTTTAATGCAGCTCCTTTTTTAGTGAGGTACCCTTTTGAGAAAATATTTAAAACAAAACCGTCACCCTCAAAGATATACGTACATAAAAAATGTTACTCGAAGATTTGGGGATTACATAGACTGCATAAAGCAGGGGTCTCCAATTCCCAGGCCTCAGACTGGCACTGGTCAGTGCTCCATTGGCATCCAGGCCGCACAGCAGGAGGTGAGCAGCATAGCAAGTGAGCATTACTGCCTGAGCTCCGCCTCCTGTCAAATCACTGGTGGCATTATTTTCTCATAGGAGAGCAAACCCTACTGTGAAGTGCACATGCAAAGGATCTAGTTGCATATTCCTTATGAAAATCTAATTGCCTGATGATTTGAGGTGAAACAATTTCGTCTCGAACCCCCTTGCCCCCACCCACTTCCATGCAAAAATTGTCCTCTATGAAATTGGTCCCTGGTGCTGAAAAGGTCGAGGACTGCTGGCCTAGAGGTATTTTACTCAAGGTCAAGAGCCCTTGTACTATACCATGTTGCCTTACAATATGGTTCAGAAAGTAGGAACAGGACTTTAAAGATCAATTTGTTCATTTACAGCTCTCTAATACCAGATAAAAGTCATGGGCTTCCAGACTTCAGGAGTCTAATTTACATTTTTCAGATTCCCCTTTTTATTGCTTATTTCTTCTCACGATTCAAAGCCAGTATTTTTTATTTTGACAACTCCAAGTCTTTCTCACACACATTAGCCTTCTTTTGTTAGTTTTCATATACAGCCTGAGTCTCTTATCTTTTCCCTGCCCAATGCCTTGACCTGGTGTCCCAAACAAAGTGATGTAACCCTGTGTGAGAATCCTCTGAGCCTACTTTGGAGAACAGATTAAAATTAATGGCCATGTGGATGTTTTGTACAATATGAATTAACAAAAGCACCACATCATGTATGAGTTGAGTATATCATATCTAGGCACTGGTTTTGTTGTTGCATTGTTTTATCCAAAATGTTAAGAGAGTCGTCTAATTCTAGACTTGCATTGTGGAACTATCAGTCTGAAAACAAATTATACTCCAGTTCTCCTCACAAAAATGCCATCTGCTAAAAGCAGGAGTATTCCTAATGGAATACTGGATTTTTTTTTTAACCTTCACTATAGAAAATTCAGATCTAGATTTACTGTTTGAATATTTTAACTCGATTGTTTAAGAGCAGGCTCTCATCATACGAGCTCTCCTTTGTGCCTAGTTATCTAATCTTGGGCAATGTTTTAGTATCTTATCGGTTGGAGTTATTTTAGAAGTACAGTACAGAGAATTATTCAAACTGGAATTTCATGTCATCATGTCCTGAAGCAAGTAGACATGTAGTCACCATGGGAATTCTGTAGAATAATGGAAAGACTTCTTAAGACCGAAAGCTACTAACTTACTGTGTAATCTTAGACAGAGCCCTTTTTGTCCTTTGGGCTTTGGTTTCTTTACAGAGAGATTAGAAATGCTAAAGACATTTCCGGGCGTGGTAGCTCATGCCTGTAATCCCAGCACTTTGGGAGTCCAAGGTGGGTGGATCACCTGAGGTCAGGAGTTCAAGACCAGCCTGACCAATGTGGAGAAACCCTGTCTCTACTAAAAATACAAAAATTAGCTGGGCGTGGTGGCGCATACCTGTAATCCCAGCTACTTGGGAGGGTGAAGCAGGAGAATCGCTTGAACCCGGGAGGCGGAGGTGGTGGTGAGCCGAAATCGTGGCATTGTACTCCAGCCTGGGCAACAAGAGCAAAACTCCATCTCAAAAATAAAAAAAGAAATGCTGAGGACTCTTCTAGCTGTAACACTAATTTTTTCTACTTTGGTTCTTGATGTCATATTCTAAGCAGTGCTAGTCAAAGTGTGGTCCACCAGTCTGCAAAAGATATGCTATTAGTTGGTGATGAAAGAAGCTTGCACCAGAATTTTATTATAATGTTTCTGTCAGCTGATTTTATTGTTGTTATTGTGTTCCTGTAACAACAGTTTTTTAAAATGTATTTTTGCCAGAACATCCCCAAAACACTGTGATAAAGAAAAAATAGCATTCTGAGTAGCACCACTCTAAAGGTTCTCCAAGAAGAAAAATTAACAACAACAAAAAAAAAAAAAGCCAGGCATGGTGGCTCACACCTGTAATCCCAGCACTTTGGGAGGACAAGGTGGGTGGATTATGAGCTCAGGAGTTCAAGACCAGCCTGGCCAAGATGGTGAAACCCCGTCTCTACTAAAAATACAAAAATTATCCAGGCGTGGTGGTGGGTACCTGTAAACCCAGCTCTTTGGGAGGCTGAGGCAGAGAATTGCTTGAACTTAGGAGGCAGAGGTTGCAGTGAGCCGAGATCGTGCCACTGTACTCCAGCCTGGCCGAGAGAGAGAGACTCCATCTCAAACAAAAAAAGACAGCTGGTCTTGTCTTGACACCAATAACTACACTTCCAAATCCTTGTTCACTAACACCAACACTGGCCTCCCACCAAACTAGGAGATGCTCAAGGAGAAACACGAAGTTACCGTGCTGGGGGCACCCCACAGCTCTGCTCGCTTGATGTCCTCTGTGATCCACATCCGCAGTGAGACCTCCATGCCGGAATCCTGTTCAAAGTGTTCTTCGTGAACTAGTGCTTCCTGGGCTTCACAGCATTTGTGTACTCCATGAAGTCTAGGGTCAGGAAGATGGTGGAGGACCTGACCAGGGCCCAGGCCTGTGCCTCCACCACCAAGTGTCTGAACATCTGTACCCTGTTCCTCGACATCCCTGCTCATTGCACTCATCATGATTTTCACCACTAGCTCGGTAATAATCTTTCAAGCAATTTCTCAGAAGATAAAGGATCTCTAAGGCCAGTAGTAGAGCCCGTGTACTCCACCATCCACTGTTGGCCCTGGTCATGGGGCTGGTCCTGTCCTCTTGACCCCACCCCTATATACAGCAGTCTATATTCACCTGTCTACAATGCAATTCAATGAAGTATATGTGTTCATGGAAAATATGTATATATACTCAGTAGAATATTTCAGTGACTCATACTTTTTAAATTGAATTTAGAAGTTGCTTTCTCAGTATCAGCAAGTGTATGTTGTCAGATGATAAATGTGTCTGCTTTTATTCCCAAAGGCCTCCTCAGTCCCCAGAGGAAGGAAGCACTGCAGAGATTAAGAGCAGAAATTGAAGTTTTAACAGATTCCTGGTTAGGAACTGCATTAAAGTCCTTACTTCTCATCCAGTCCAGGTATGGAAATGGTTCTTTTAGGTATCATCCTCTCAGAGACATACTCTTCTACTCCATTCCAGTATAGGTCATTCTCTAAAATAGGGTTTGGGATAGGGGCAGAGAGGAGTTTAAATCATGTAGGGAAGTATTATGCTAGGTGGGAAGCAAGGTCATTTTATGTTAACAGCACACCTTCTAGCTATAAGAGAATATTTATATATGAAATCCTCTTTCTCTCCTTACTTTTTGCTCACGAAATTAAAACTCAGTAACCCATAATCTCTAGTCCGGAAGTTAGGCCTGGTGACATCAAAGAATACATGGTGGAAATGTATTACAAATATGCTAGGTACAGGAAGCTCCAAGAAATATATCCAAACTCACTCAACAAGGCAAGATTCAAAAGAAAAAGGGTACACTAAGCAGATTAAGGAGATTTCAACATGAAGCTTAGACTGGGAAATAAATGTGCCAGTCTGTGTCTGCACCAATACCCTATTGCTCCCTCCCTCAAAGCAGGAATTCCAGATCCACAACATAGTAAACAGTAAAACTGACACCAGGGAGTGGATATCCAGAGAAGGTAAAGGACATATAAAATTAATGTGTATTCTAGAATCAGTGTTGCTATTGTGTGAAGAACAAAGAGAATGTAAATCATATCTCATTTATGGACTGACTTGCATTCAGATGAAAGAGTACAGCCCAGAGCTTTTTGCTTTTGCTTGTTTTCTAAAATATGGTATCAGTGACATGGCTTAGTGGTATTTATTAACAAGTATTTGTGACTAGAATGGTCAGAGGAGAAATAAGGCAAGAATTAAGTTGCTCCTCTGCATCCACTAAGAGACAAAAATGAGTAGAACCTCTGCCCTTTAATAGAGAAAGTAAATGAACATGAAATAATTAGTAGTAGCTGAACATTGGCTCTGAACACTATCATACCAGGTCCTTTAAGGTTAATTTTTAGTAGTTAGATTTTAAAGAGTTGGCACATATGAATTCTTGCTTCCAGGTTGGTTTAGTTTTACCTTTTATTTTTCTTTTTACTCCCTTCTAGAAAGAATTGTGTGAATGTTCTGATCACTACCACTCAGCTGGTTCCAGCCCTGGCCAAGGTTCTCTTATATGGACTAGGAGAAATATTTCCTATTGAGAACATCTATAGTGCTACCAAAATTGGTATGGTTTCTATGCTGTTTCTTGTCACTGGCTTTGTAATAAAACTTTCTACTCATGATGCACCCATTATTTTCTGTTAGACACTTTATATGTAATACTTATAATCCTCACAACAGTCTTCTGATATTTTTTGTAATGCTGTTGAGGTTTAGTAATTATATAGCTTGCTCAAGGTGTCACAGCTAGTAAGTTACATAAACATGCTCTTTATTTGAAAGAACATATTATCTAGCTTAGAAATCTGTTTGGCCTAATTTCAAGTTTTTTACAGAGAGTATGTAGTATAATAGAAAAAGCTCTAGATTAAAAATAAAGCTCTAAATTGTATACCTAAAAATGGTGGCCAGGCATGATGGCTCACACCTGTATTTCCACCACTTTGGGAGGCTGAGGTGGGAGGATCACCTGAGGCCAGGAGTTCAACACCAACCTGGGCCACATGGCAGACCTCTGTCTCTACAAAAAAGATTTTTTTAATTAGCTAGGTGTGGTGGCACACATCTGTAGTCCTAACTAATTGGAAGGTTAAGGTGGGAGGGTCACTTGAGCCAGAAGTTCAGTGCTGCAATGAGCTATGTGATCTTGCCATTGTGCTATAACCTGGTGACAAAACAAGACTATGTCTTAAATAAAATAACAGGTATTGGCCGGGCGTGGTGGCTCACGCCTGTAATCCAAGCACTTTGGAGGCCAAGGCGGGCGGATCACCTGAGGTCGGGAGTTCAAGACCAGCCTGACCAACATGGTAAAACCCCGTCTTTAAAAAAATAAATAAATAAATAAAATAAAATAACAGGTATTGACAAGGATGTAGAGAAATTGGAAACTTTGTGCACTGTTGGTAAGGTTGTAAAATGATGCAACTGTTGACAGACACGGTGGTGCATACCTGAGTCCCAGGTATTTGGCAGGCTGAGGCGGGAGGATCATTTGAGCCCAGGAGTTTGAGTTCAGCCTGGGCAACATAGTGAAACCGTGTCTATTTTAAAGATGCAACTACTATGATAAATAGTATGATGGTTCCTCAAAAAAATTAAAAGTAGAACTACCATATGATTCAGTAACCTACTTTGAGTAAATATCTGAAAGAATTGGGTCTCAAATTCTTGAAATATATCCAAATATCCAAAAGCAGGGTCTCAAAGAGATATCTGCACACTCATGTTTATAGCAGCATTATTCACAGTAGTTCAGAGCTAGAAGCAGCTCAAATGTCCATCGGTGGATGAATGGATAAACAGAATGTGGCATACACATACAGTGAAATATTATTTGGCCTTAAAAAGGAAGGAAAGTCTGTCATATGCTACAATATGGATAAACCTTGAAGACATGCTAAGTGAAAGTGAAATAAGACAATCACAAAAGGACAAATACTATATGATTCCATTTATATGAGACTTCTAAAGTAATCACATGCATAGAACTGAAAGGAGAATGATAATTGCCAGAGGCTGAAGGGGAACAGAAATGGGAGTTGTTCAATGGATATAGAGTTGCGGTCATGCAAAATGAAAAACTTCCAGACATCTGTTACACAATAGTTAACATGACTGAACTTTACACTTAAAAAGTTTTACGAGAAGCCAGGCTCTGGCTTGCATTCAGATGAAAGAGTACAGCCCAGTATGCCTATAATCCCAGCACTTTGGGAGGCTGAGGCAGGTGGATTATTTGAGGTCAGGAATTCAAGACCAGCCTGGCCAATATGGTGAAACTCCCTCTCTACTAAAAATACTAAATTAGCTGGGCTTGGTGGCATGGACCTGTAATCGCAGCTACTTGGGAGGCTGAGGCAGGAAAATCTCTCGAGCTTGAGAGGTAGAAGTTGCAGTGAGCCAAGATCATGCTGTTGCACTCCAGCCTGGGCAACAGAGCAAGACTCTGTCTCACAAAAAAAAATTGTTAAGAGGGTAAATTTTATATTACTTTTTTTTGAGATGGAGTTTTGCTCTTGTTGTTCAGGCTGGAGTGCAATGGTATGATCTTGGCTCACTACAACTTCCACTTCCCGGGTTCAAGCAATTCTCCTGTCTCAGCCTCCCAAGTAGCTGGGATTATAGGCATGTGCCAACACACCTCGCTTATCTTGTATTTTTAGTAGAGATGGGATTTCACGGTGTTGGCAAGGCTAGTCTTGAACTCCTGACCTCAGGTGATCCACCCGTCTCCCAAAGTGCTGGGATTACAGGCATAAGCCACTGTACCTGGCAAAAATGTTTTGTTTTAAAGATTAGTAAATTTCATGTTATGCATATTTTACCAGTTTTTGGTTTTTTTTTTTTGTTTTGTTTTGTTTTTGTTTTTAAGGAAAAAAGAAACATCAAGGAGAAGGATTTAAGTCCTGGCTCACCCACTTACTAGCTCTCACCTTAGGCAGATTATCTTCTTTCCTGTACCTGAGTTTTCTCAAGTAAAATGAGATCTTAGAATTGAGTACAGTCTGAGTGTGGTGGCTCATGCCTGTGATCTCAGCACTTTGGGAGGCTGAGGCAGGCTGATCACCTGAGGCCAGGAGTTCGAGATTAGGCTGGGCCAACATGGTAAAACTCCCCCCTTTACTAAAAATACAAAAATTAGCTGAGCTTGGTGGCAGGTGCCTGTAATCCCAGCTACTTGGGAAGCTGAGTCAGGAGAATCGCTTGAACCTGGGAAGTGGTGGTTGCAGTGAACTGAGATGGTGCCACTGCACGCTGGCTTAGGTAAACAGAGCAAAACTCCATCAAAAAAAGGAGGCCGGGCACGGTGGCTCACACCTGTAATCCCAGCACTTTGGGAGGCCAAAGCAAGCGGACTGCCTGAGCTCAGGAGTTTGAGACCACCGTGGGCAACATGGTGAAATCCAGTCTTTATTAAAATTCGCTGGGCATGGTGGGGGCCACTTGTAGTCCTGGCTACACAGGATGCTAAGGCACAAGAATCACCTCGGAGGTAGAGGTTGCAGCGAGCCAAGATCATGCCACTGCACTCCAGAATGAGCAGCAGAGCAAGACTCTGTCTCAAAAAAAACAATAAAAAAATAGCCAGGTATGATGGTGTGTGCCTGCAATCCTAGGTACTCTGGAGACTAAGGTGGGAGGAGCCTCACGAATTTGAGGCTGCAGTGAGCTATGATTGTGTCACTATACTTAAGCCTGGATGACATAGCAAGACTTTGTCTCATAAATAAGTAAACACAGCAACCATGAAGTGTTAAGATTTTCAAAGCTGGGTTGGTGGTAGGCATTTTTTTCTTTTTCTTTTTTTTCTTTTGAGACAGGGTTTCACCCAGGCTAGAGTTCAGTTATCACAGCTCACCACAGCCTCGACCTACCTGGCTCAAGCAGCCTTCCTAGCTCACCCTTTCGAGTAGCTGGAACTATAGGTGCACACCACCATGCCTCAGTTTTTCTATTTTTTGTAGAAATGGGGTCTCACTTTGTTGTCAAGGCTGGTAATTCTCCATGCTTCTTTGTATGGTTGAATTGTTTGATTTACAAAGGGTTGGTTGGAAGGGAACATATATGAGAGCTCCCTTCAGACATTGTTACTGCTGCCATTGCTTTATGTATATCATAGGAACCCAGGGCACTTACTGAGTCTACCACACCTGAAAGATAGATTTTCTGTAGTGCTTATTATATTGAGACCTGGCACCCACAGGCTCATTAGGCTAATGGAAATGATCTCATTTCCTCTGACAGTAAGTGTACTTATTTGGTGATTTCCTGAGTCTCAGTTCATCCAGAGCTAATTTGCAAAGTTGCAGTGGGATCTGGTGCCATGGTAACCACAGTGGGAGGCTTGAGGCTTTTCTTCACAGAACTGTGAAATGGGAACAAGGAGAAGAAATACTTTTTCACTTCCTCTGAAATGATAGCAAAATATGGTTCTGTTAATGGCCATTCTGTGATTTGGGGACAGTAAAGAGAATTCTTAAAATAATTTCTGAAAAAGTCAGAAGGTTTTTTTTGTTTGTTTTTGGGGGCTTTTTTGAGACAGGGTCTCACTCTAGTACCTATGCTGGAGTGCAGTGGCACCAACATAGTCCACTGCAACCTTAACCTTCCCATGTTCAAACAATCCACACACATCAGTCTCCTGAGTAGCCAGGATTTCAGGCATGCTCCATTACCATACCCCGCTAATTTTTAAATTTTTTGTAGGGAAAAGGTCCCAGTGTGTTGCCCAAGCTCATCTTAAACTCCTGTGCTCAAGTGATCCTCCTGCCTTAGCTTCCCAGATTGCTGGGATTGCAGATGTGAGCCATTGCTCCTGGTCAGAAGTATTTTTAATAGAGAAAACCCAGGGACTAATATTCTCCAAAGATTTGGCTGATCTTACAGTTCACCAGCTTCCATTGCTTCACATTTGGTAAACTGATTAGTCATCGGCCTCATCCTCCTGAACAGGAAAGCTCATATACAGAATTGTTTTGAGAGTATAAATGGAAGTATTTTACCAACTGTATTGGAGTGAGTCCTGTTTTCATGTAGCTGCTTCTTTACTTTGAGCTGTTAACAACTCTCTTGGTCTCTTAAACCTTTTAAAGGAAACATTACAGAGTATATTTCATCCTTGATCATTGCATGCCAGGACAATGAAATTGTCTGTGTTCTTATCCTCTAAATATGAGTTACTACCTTTGTTGGGTCTTACAAGAAAGTCAAATTTGACTCAAAAAGAGTTTTTTTGCTACAGACAGATCATAGTAGACCGTGCATCTGGTGGAGGTTGGCTTAGTATGTAAAGCTGCAATGGTTGAAATGAAATTAGACAAAGAACTCTTTCATACCCTGAACATAGTAAGAATTTATTATTAGTTGAACTGTTTAATGTTTGAACTGAATTGAGGCATAAGACCTGGACTACAGTCCTCCACTGAATCATTTGTGAGATGAATATGACTTTACTCAGCAAACATTGATTGAAGCCTTATATGAATGTAAGGCATGACAATTCTATTGAAAATGTTAGCACTAAAAGAGACCCAAGTGCACCTAAGCCAAGCCTTATATTTTAAGTGGCCAGCTGAGCCCAGATTGGACTAGCATCTGGTCCAGTTGACTAGTCCATCTGTTTTGAGGTGCTGCTGGAGTAAGGATGTCAGAGATTTGCAGTTACATATCTGCATGACTTCTCCTGTGCCAAGTAGGACTTCTGAGTATGGAAGCATAGGTTCTGGCCAATTATAGTTACTTTAGATTTGTGTATTTATATATTGCAATGATTTTCCAGCAGATGGCAGTCAAGTGTCTTGAGGAAGAGGCAGTTTTATCTTATTCACACAGGGACCCTGGTGCTAAGGCACTCTGTTGGGCAAGAGGAAGGAACAAGAAGGTTAATAGAGCAGGATGAAGAAGAAAGCCAAAGTTAGGATCTTGCTTAACTGAAGAAGGTAGCAGAAGCAGGGAAATAAAAAGAGCAAGGGATATAATTCCCTTTTATTTATTGCAAATAAAGTATCTTTCCCACAGCAGTATGAACTGTGAATGTTTTAGGTGTTGATTTCAGATGGGATTGGAGTTTTAGTACACTGGCATGTTTCTCAAAACTGTCATCTGAAGTTCTGAGAAGTAGTTTTAAATCACTCATTTCCCAAGGTCAATTTCAGTGATTGCAATATCTTGGTTACAACTACAAAGTATAGTAAGTAAGGAAGTTCCAGATATGACAAATGTCGCTGCCGTATTTATCGGCCATGTTTCTCAGTTCTATTCTGGGGCTCTTCCCTCACTGAAAGACACAAGGCCCACACCCAGAACTGCTTCTGGGAAATGAAGAATTGGAGGGAAATGGCTTTTTGTTTGTTATTGTTTCTAACAAGAAATTAGGGCCCTGTGCTATCACTTCTCTTTCCTTCCCTAAAACATTGCCCCTCAAAAAACATTTATTATTGCACAATGACCAGAGCCTAGATTTGGAGTCAGGGGCCCCAAGTTCTAGCTATTCACTTGTTTGTGATCTAGGGGCAAGTCACTAAACCTATGAATCCCTCCCATTTATAGAAATTTCCTCACACTAAGATCTTAGGGACTTCACCCTCAAGGTGAAAGTTAAAATCAATTGTTATTTTAATGGCACAACTTCACATTTTTTGGACAGAGGGTCTACTGGATCTCTAGCTCCCACCCTTACTCCCCAGCAAGCAAACTATGTAGGATGTCACTTAGTCCACCTAAGCACAGGCAGGTGAACCTAGCAGCAGCCCTTCTTTCATTTTGAAAAGAAGAGAAGAGTATTCTAACAGGAAATTTATTTTTCTCATCAGGTAAAGAGAGCTGCTTTGAGAGAATTGTGTCAAGATTTGGAAAGAAAGTCACTTATGTAGTGATTGGAGATGGACGAGATGAAGAAATTGCAGCCAAACAGGTAACTATGGTAAAGAAAATAGTCTCTATGGTTGTACACCGAGTAATTAGAAAAATGGTAAAAACCACAAAATCTTAGCAATCTATTATGCATGTATAGTATTTCCTCTTTCTTCCCTCCCCATTATTTTTTAAATAAAAAGAGGGTCTTTGTTTTCTCCAGATGGAGTTTTTCCTCTAAGTATTTAGATCCTTCCCTTCCTTTTCCTCCCTGCCACTCAAGAACCTTAAAATCTTTAAACCCTTCTACAGGGATCCCATCATTAAACCTGAGACGTATCCCATCTTCCATCTTCATCTTCAAAGACAGTGCCTTCTCAAGCATCAGACTTGACTGCAAGAAGCCTAATCATTCTTACTTTTCCATGCTTCAGGTTCTCAGATAGTACAATCAATAGAGAGCTGTTTCTATAGAGAAAGTCCTTCCTGCCTTTGAGCCCTGGAAAGATTGTTCTGATATTTACCCCACCACTCTACAGGTCCCAACTTCAGGTCACCCCTTCTTAACACAGGAAACAATAGATGAAAGAGTCTTGACTGTAGAACCTAAAATCCCATCTGTGTATCAGCTATGTGACTTTGAACAATTTACTTACCCTCTTTGAGTATCCTCATGTGCTAAATGGATCTGTAGAAGTTCTTTCCCTCCCTACCCCAATTTACTTTCTTCCAGCAACTCTGTTTCTTAGACATGGAGGCATTGGGTTGCCAGCTAGAACCAACTGCCCGATACTCTTCATCCAGTTAAGTAGAAACTTTAGCAACTATAATAAACTATGAGATTGGTAATCAGCTGGCATTATTATATCATGCTTTCATTTGCCACTTTATGTAGCAATTCAGGGATCTTTTTTTTTTTTTTTTTTTTTGCATGTAATATCACTGAAGCTTTGATTCTAATGTGCTTCTTATTGCCCTCTTTGGGAAAGACACTAGTGGGTGTAGGCATCAGTGCTTCCTGGTCTGAAAAAGGGTATTGGGGAGAGAAAGAACAACTCAAGTCATCAGCAGAGTTGGTAACTCTTGAGCTAATGTCTGTAATCATCTACAATAGAATATACCCATTGAAGCTGAGCATGGTAGCGTACGCCTATAATCCCAGCACTTGGGGAGGCCAAAGCGGGCAGACCACTTGAGGACAGGAGTTCGAGACCAAACTGGCCAACATAGTGAAACCCCTTCTCTACTAAAAATACAAAAATTAGCCAGGCATGGTGGTACACGTCTGTAATCCCATCTGCTCTGGAGGTTGAGGCACGAGAACTGCTTGAACCCTGGAGGCAGAAGTTGTAGTGAGCCAAGATCACACCACTGCACTCCAGCCTGGGCAAGACTCCATCTCAAAAAACAAACAAAAAAGAATATACCCATTGGAAAATGCCTTAGCACTTTGTCCAGTTCAACCTATACTCTGAAGGATCTTTTCTGCAACCTTTCTGACAGAAGTCTCTCGAGTCCTTGCTTCAATATGCTCAAGGATGAGGACACTGGTTCCCAATAGCCTATTCCACTGTGGGGTCAACCAAGCTGTTAGGGTGTTCCCCCTTCCACTGAATAAAAATGTCTCTAACCTTCACATACTAGTCTGGCATTCTTTTGTTTTGTTTTGTTTTGTTTTGGAGATGGAGTCTCACTCTGTCGCCCAGGCTGGAGTGCAGTGGCACAATCTTGGCTCACTGCAGCATCCGCCTCCCGGGTACAAGCTATTCTCGTGCTTCAGCCTCCCAAATAGCTGGGCTTACAGGTGCACACAACCACACTCAGCTAATTTTTGTATTTTTAGTAGAGACAGGGTTTTGCCATGTTGGCCAGGCTGGTCTCAAACTCCTGACCTCAGATCCACCCACCTCAGCCTCCCAAAGTGCTAGGATTGCAGGTGTCAGCCACTGCACCTGGCCTCTCTAGTCTGGCATTCTTGAACATAACAAGTCTGCTTTCTCTTCTGTATGTTAATAGCCTTTTAAATATTATGTGTGAGCAGCTGGCTTGAAAAACAACTAGGGTACATGCGAAAATAATGGTGTTCTAGGACCTCAGTATTCTGAGTAACTTGGAACCAGTTTCAGCTAGATGATCAGGAAAGTTAATCTCCTCAGCTTCATAGAACATGGTTTCCAACACTTGAGTTTATCAAAGCCCTCCTTTAAAATAAGGCCTCCACATGAGAATCACTTAAACCTGGGAGCGGAGGTTGCAGTGAGCTGAGATAGCACTATTGCACTCCAACCAAGGCAAAAGAGTAAGACTCTGTCTCAAAAAATATTAAAAAATTGGCCGGGCGCGGTGGCTCAAGCCTGTAATCCCAGCACTTTGGGAGGCCGAGGCGGGTGGATCACGAGGTCAAGAGATCGAGACCATCCTGGTCAACATGGTGAAACCCCGTCTCTACTAAAAATACAAAAAATTAGCTGGGCATGGTGGCGCGTGCCTGTAGTCCCAGCTGCTCAGGAGGCTGAGGCAGGAGAATTGCCTGAACCCAGGAGGCGGAGGTTGCGGTGAGCCGAGATCGCGCCATTGCACTCCAGCCTGGGTAACAAGAGCGAAACTCCGTCTCAAAAAAAAAAAAAAAAAAAAAGTTAAAAAATTAATTAATTAAATAAAATTTAAAAATATGGCCTCCAGGCACAGTGGCTCATGCCTGCATTCCCCCAGCACTTTGGGAGGCCAAGGTAGGAGGATTGCTTAAGCCCAAGAGTTCAAGACCAGCCTGGACAATATAGCGAGGCTTCATCTCTACAAAAAAAAGAAAGAATTAGCCAAGCGTGTTGGCACATGCCTATAGTCCCAGCTACTTGGGAGGCTGAGGTGGAAGGATTGCTTGAGCTCAGGAGGTCAAGGCTGCAGTGAGCAGTGTTCATGCCACTGCACTCCAGCCTGGGTGACAGAATGAGACCCTGTCTCAAAATAAAATAAAATATAAATAAGTAAAATATGGCCTCCAGAACAGCACATAGTATTCTGGACATGATTCTGACTACATAATATAATGGGATCATTATTTCCCAGGTCTGTACATTCTCCTTATTGGACATAGATAAGATTTAGGTCTTGTAATTATGAAACTTATAAGAAATTGACCATCCATAAGACAATATAATCTTATATCAAATACTAATTTTTCACCTGGTCTATTTTATTTGATCCTTAAGACTCTATATGATAGCTGGAATGCCTGTAGTCCCAGCTACTTAGGATGCTGGGGTAAGAGGATTGCTTGAGCGCAGGGATTCAAGGCTGCAGTAAGCTATAATGACACCACTGCACTCCAGCCTGTGTGACGAAAAGACCTTGTCTTCAAAATAATAGCTAGACAGGTAATCTCTTATAAAAGCAGAAAGTACCACTGAAACCTATTTAAAATTTCTCACATTTATAAAGTGTACAATGTACAAGGCCCTTATACATGTGACTATTTGATCATTATGACAGTCCTATGAGGCAGGGATAGATAGGGTCACCATGTGCCTTGGGGACAGGTGTGTTGAGGAACGAATATGGGCAAGTATTTAATATAAGCTCGCAGAAGAAGTTGGATTAACTAGCTATCCCCACTCTTTTCCAGCACAACATGCCTTTCTGGAGGATCACAAACCACGGAGACCTAGTATCCCTTCACCAGGCTTTAGAGCTTGATTTTCTCTAAGAACTGGAATGAGGAGCCTTCCCCTTAAGCTCCTTTTCACTCCTGAAGGGAGCTGGAGACTGGAACCAACTGAGAACTTTCTCTGTCTCACTCTCTGTCTCTCTACCTGTCTCTCTTTCTCTCTCTGCCTCTCCCTCTCTCTCTCTCTTTCTGCCTCTCTCACTGTCTTTCTCCATGGAATGCTGGTGAGAACACAATCAGAACCAACAGCTGCAATTTTTGCTAAGAGTGAGCTGCAGCCCCGTGTTCATCTCCATACAGAAGCAGGAGACAGTTTGATAGAGCAATGGACTCACTGCAGCTACATTGCTTTTAATTCTTCTGTGTTTTGTTGTTTTCTTTTTTTCAAAAAATGAAAAAGAAAAATTCCTAGGGCAGAGTTGAGAGTTGTACTCTTAGTCCATGAGCAGATTGAGAATTACTCATAACTTGTGGTGATCAGATAAATGCAGCAGACTTTTATGATAACATCTCTTGCAGTCTTAGAATCTCCTTAGCTTAGAATCTCACTTATTTCCAGTGAACATGTATGTTATTTTTATAAGACAGGGTCTGATCTCTGACACAGGTTCCCCCCCTTTCTTTTTCTAGCAAGAAAGGGGGTGTAAAGTCTTGAAAATAGTAATTGAAATATCTAAAATACCTCTCTGTGGCAGTAGTACCTCTTTAGCTGCTCCAGTGGTCTGCTCTCTAGGATGATTCCTTTCCTGTTCTTCATCTCCTAGTTGGCAAACTGTGGGGCACTGGATACTGAGTAACTTTAAACTTCGGCATTTCCCATCTAGAAGCCTTAGTCTTCTTTCCAGTCCCTTTTCCCTTTAGTCAAATGGCACAACCCCAAAAACTCCTTCAGTTTGACTCTCCTTCAGTTTGACTCTCCTTCAGACTGAATCCCTGGAGGCTTAGCTTCCAAACTGGAGAGAAGCAACTAAAGCTTCTTGGGAATTTCAGCTTCTTTGGCTCTTGAGACAGAAAGGTTCTACCTATTTCCCATCAGATGCTTACCCCTGCAGCTTCTTCCTTCTTAGTCATCATAATGCTAGGTTCTTACCCCTTTCCTGCCCTCTGCACCTCATATCCACCTCCAGGCAGCTCTGGCCAGTCCCCAGGTATTAGACCCAAGAATTGATATAAAATCTAAAAACATGCTTATATTTACATTTTGGCCAAAACTACCAATGTATTTGACTTCCTTTTTGGAAGCCCTTAAGCTATATGGGTGTCCCAGGCATAAATTTACCCAGATCTCTGCCTGAAACTGAAGGGCAGATTGTATTTAAGTTTTCCCGTGGAACACCCTGCTTCTCAAATCCCATTCTACAGTAGGAAACCAGAAAGACTTTGCTGATTGTGGGGGGGAGGGTAGGTACTGCCAGGGTTTCCCTGTGTTGCCAAGGCTGGTCTCAAATACCTGGCCTCAAGCAATCCTCCCACCTTGGCCTCCCAAAGTGTTGGGATGATAGGCATGAGCCACTGCACCTGGCCAAACTTTCCTGATTTAGATGAGAGTGCTGGGTCATTCCCTACTTCATGCCCCAAAACTTAATCCTGGGCCAAATGAGGAGCATCTCTCCACCTCTGGGAAGATTGGTGGGTGCCCAGGCACTAGTCACAGCCTTCCAGCCCAGCTCTCCAAGACCAATCTGGGCATCTGCTCAGGCAGGATAAAATTGCCTAGAGCTGAGGAAGTTCAGCCTCTTCCAGGCTGCACAGAGGGAGATGATATAAGCACCTCAGATTGAGATGCAGGATTGGTCCTCAGAAGGAGGTATTGTTGACCAACCCCAGCTATAATTGCTTGTTACCAGAGACTTTGTGTACCCATTTCTAAGATACTGCAGCACAAACAGGCAAGACTCCTTCCAATGCCAGGCCACCCAGATAGCAACACAGAGAGGCTAGTATACACATTCCTTTAGAACTCATTGAAAAGTGCTCATGACTCACCATTTTAAGGAGTAAGTTTTTATCGAGTAGCTGAAGTCAGTGCTCCTTTACCTAGCTGCCTCTTTGGCCTTGTTTCCTGTGGGGTTGGGAGGAGGGAGATGTAGTATGAGGAAGGCCTTCCGTTGGTCTGTATTCAGCAGAATTGCGTAGATACTGCTCTGACTTGTTTGATGGTTGATCTTGGGAAGCTCTAGGTTTTACTCTGAGGCCTCAAGCTCTCCCCCTAATGCCAGTATAGCTGTTAGGTTTTTGTCCTGGACAGAGGCCACGGGTGTTGGTCCTGTGCTTCAGGTTTGTGAGGCTGTGGAGTGGTACCCCCACCATGCACAGAAGCACACACACAAATACTTCCCTCTCCACCCTTATGGGAGCTCTTTATTCTTAGAATATAACTTAGACTCACTTTTATCAATGGCCTTTTTCCTCTTGCCCTGACTTCCTAGCTTAGCTCTTTCCAAAGGAACTTGAACTTGGCCAAGAGAGGTAAGGAGGCTGAACGGAGCAGTCTCTGCTCATTCCTGGTTGTTGCCACCCTCATTTAGATGGAAAACAGAAAACAGAAGCTTCTTGGCTCTTTGCCAAAATGAATTATCAGGGAACAAGTGCTCTCTCTCTCTCTCTCTCTGTAATTACCCTTTTTCTTCTCTGCAACACAAAAACCTGGAAAGGAAAATAAGTGGGTAGGATTAAGAGCTGTTGGAAGCTGAGGGCCAAAGGATACTGTGGGTCTAGTTGTCAAGGAGGCGGCCCTCTGCATTAGAAAGAGTTCCTCATGAAATTAGCCAAATGGTGAGTCCTTCCCCAGCTGGGCACTATGGGTTCTCTAAGATGGGTCTGTAATGTCACAGTGAGGGCTCTCTCTAGTAGTAGATCTGGAGTGAGGTGTGTCTTGGGTTGAAGAGGTGGCTTGACTTTCGAATGTAAAACTGACTGTGCCTTAGCATCACCCTGTCCAGTGCCCCTGGGGCAGCTGGTAGTGTCCAGAAGAATGGACACCTGCTCCAGACTTAGATGCCTATCTGAGCTTTTGTTTGATTTGAGGTGTTTCTGTCTTCTGTAAAGCTAGTGAGTTGTCCCAAGAGACTGATGCCACAGCTTGTTCGCAGTTACACAAACTCGGCTTTAAAGCTCCAGATAGAATCTGATTGACAAACTCCAGCTGCAGCATATGGAGCTTCTAGATGTTCACAACCTTGAATGGGTGTCAGTGTCACTGAACCATGGGGGAGAGGAGTATGGGGTAGAGCAATGGTCTGGGCCAAGGAGTGGTGAGCTTAGGGTCTTCCTCTGAAACCTCACTCCTCTTCAAGGAGGCAGTTAGGGTCCCTCTTAAGCAGGCTTCTATTTCTTACCACTAAATTGGTTTCATTTTTCATCCAGAAGTTAGCACTCCCCAGATATTCACACTATAGGATCTGAATTTTGAGATTCTAAAATATCTTAAACCACAAGAGAGAAAATCTAGTTCTGCCTCAGCCCTAGTCAGCAGGCCATCTGTCCCTTCCTTTCCTCTGAGTCAGACAGCTCTGGCAAGCAAGGCTCCTTGGCTAGTTCCTAATGCACTGACAGGAGCCCTCCCATTAAGGATGACTTCTACTCAAAACATGACTCTCCCTCTGGACTGCAGATGCCTGTTAGCAGGAAAAGGCATTGATCGGATTGGATATATTTATGTGACTGCGGGCATTCGTGGCTGTAGAATCCGTGACCATAATGTTATATGTAATGGGAACTATCTTATAAACTTGAAAAAAATAAAGTTTTTATTTTCTATAGTTTGCTCCTGTGTCTTCTCTGAATAGGATCAGCCCAGTTGTCCAACTGTGAGGAGTCCTAATTATGGCTTCCTAAAGGTTCTAAAGAGTTCATTCGAGAGATATCACTCTTTGAATAACTGTGTCATTTCACCAAAAAAGTAAAAACAAAGCCATTTCGTATAAATATACACGGGAAAATATTTTTAAATAATTTGCATGGGAGCATTTATTGTTTCTAAAACATACTGCTTTTCAAAGTTTAGAACTGGAACAAGAAAAGATTTCATTCACTGCCAAATGTGCTGGAATTTAATTACTGAGAGAAATCAGTACCTTGCTATGCTGAGCTTAAATGGCAAAAGCAACAAAACTGATAAACTGATATCAAACCTCATTTGATTTGGCCTGATTTCATGTCACACCAACTACTTTTTCTCATTTCATTTGTCTGATTTGGGTCTGGCTGTACCCCACTGGTTTAGAAAACAGTCATGAAGCCTTTCTGCCTTTTAGCCCAGTGAAGGAAATTAGAATTGGGTTCTAGCTTCCATGGAAGTACCATACATGTCAGACCATAAGATGTATTTTTCCAAAAATCCCCTAGAAAAGGTTGCCTATTCTAGTTATTAAATGTTTTCCTCATTAGGTGCAGATTTTGAACCACACATTAGTTGAAGCAAACCCGTTAGCTGCTATATCCCTACTCAGTTATAAGTAAAAATATTAGAGAAATTGATTTCCAAGCACAGAGTAAAACATCTCCATCTCCTCCTGCAATTAATTGCAGGTGTGTGTGTTTATATGTATTCTATTAGAAGAATGGTCCTTTGTTCTAGGATTGGTACATCCTTTTATGAGATGATGAAAATAAATGGTGGTAGTTTTTAATGACGTTTTTTGTTAAAATTAAGTTGCAACCATGTTGGCCATTTTATAGGTTCATGATATTCAGAAGTCTGAAAATGTCTAGACAGGATGGTCTGCGGGATCCTTTCTGCTCTAACCATTGCTTGTATGTAAAAGTCACCAGCATTGTCCTCACAGACCCTCTCCCTGCCCCCACCCTTCATCTCTGGGTCATCTTTAGCTCCAGGCCAACAGAGTGGCTACGAAGGCTTCTTCATCCTGTGGAATTCTATTTGCAACATTCCTTCCTTGACTGGTTCAAGCCACCAGTGACTCCAGGTTCTGCTCCTTCTCCTGAAACTTGGACACCCGTCACTGTTAACCGGCTTATTAGTTTTTCAGGAAGGCCTTCCCCAGCCATTCTATACAAAGTTGTAATTCCCACCCCCAACACATAAATACCTACTCTCTCCCTAGCCCTTTCCCTTTTTCTTTTAGCACTTAACACTATCTAATATATTAAATGTTTTACTTATCCTGGTTTTTGTGTCTCCAGCAGAATAACAGAACTGAAACTATCCTGAATCCCATCACAGTGGTAACTGGAAACTTTTCTTCTCTATCTCAAGTGACTTTTCTTTCCCTTGTTTCTCCAAACCACAGACCTCCTATAACAGCAAAAGATTCCACCTCCCCAGCACCATCAGCCACCCACATCTACATCCCCTAAGCCACCTCATCACTTAACCTCTCAGAGCTCCCAGCAAAAAGACCTTTCTTCACCAGGCTGTTATGTTCACTTCTTGGCCCCAAATATGTTTATGGCCACTCCTGCTGGTCCCAGCAGCAGAGCTGGTGGTGAAGATGATGCACTAAGTCAGCCCAGATCTGGATTCTGATCCCCAGCTAAGCTGTCAGCCCCATGCTGGCTCACCACCTCCTTAAACTTCAAAAACAAGGTTGAGAAGCCCCACCTGAGCCAGCCCTCTCTCTGGTCTGGGGGCCTTGACCGATTTTGAGAAGTAGATTTTATGTCCCTGACTACCTCCAGTTCAGGCTCTGAACTCCATAGATTTTGTTTAATGATAACAGACTAGGTTGGAGGATTTCATGAGGCTTTAAAAACCTAATAATACTGTTAAACAAAAACAACACGTGTGTCACTTGCAGAGACACACAGGCACACACATTCTCTTCCCCTCACATAGACTCTGAGGTAGGAGGTACACTGGCTAAGGAATAAAACTCAGTGGCTGTGCAAGGCCCAGAACACAGGCTCACAAGGCTCTTGGTTGAAAAGCAGCCCCTTGAGAGCAGAAGCAGAGGCCAGGCCAGGTTCACTGAGATCTTGGAGGTTGACGGGGGTCACCCAGAGTTGGGCATCCTTGGCTTCCGGCATTTAAGATCTAACCCAGGACTGGTTGGTGCAGGTAGGGCATGAAGCTAGGGTGGTAGCTGGTCTTGTTCCAGGCTGCAAGGATAGAATGATGTTCCTGGCACATAAACTGCTCTTAGCAAAGATTTGTTTCATGAATTGAAAGAATGGTGTGGGGAAGGGAGGAAGAATTCTAAAGGACAGCCCCTGGGGGGTGCTGCCGCCTTCTAGCCCTGGATAGGGGAGCTAAGGGGCAGCACCTACACCAGTTATTTTAGAGGTAGCCAAGGAGGTAGAAAGTTTTGGGGCACCAGCTATACCAACTGGCAGGGGGAAAAGAAAAGGTAGTCGTCTTTCCTCCCCAAGTGTCTTGTACCTAACTGGGGCTATTGACTCTTCAGGGCCCAGCCCTTCTCATCTTGTTCTCTGTTCTCATCTTGAACTCCTTGAAGGCAGGCCTCTACCCCACTCAGCAGCATCCCTGGTGCCTGGCCCAGCACAGGCGTCCCACTCTTGGTGAGTGCATGGAGCCCACAGCAGCATCATTAGCTTATCCTCGCCTCCCTTCTGCCAGCGGAGTCACTGTCCATCTCTGCCCGCTGGGTCTAATCCTGCTTCAAAGGACGCCGTTCACCTCTCCCTTCACTGGCGAAGCAGCCCCATCCTTAGCCTTGGGGAAAAAGTTCTGTGCTAACTGGGTCATGCGCCTGTTCTGAGGCAGCTGATAACCCTCTGGGGAAAGTAGACTCCTGGCCCCATCCACCTGGTCAGGCTCAGGTTCCCAGCGGCGGCAGCTAGGGTGTAGCCAGCGATAGTACACAAGCCGCAGAGCCAGGCCCAGAAGGAAGCAGCCGCCTCCCACAGACAGCCACAGCTGCAGTGGAATCCTGCTGGGCAGCCAGGAGCTATGAGTCACCCAGGTGGCCACCAGGAGAATGCTGTCACTTAGGAGGAAGGCCAAGTGGATGGTGGCCCGGCCTCGGGTGTGGCCCTCAGCTACGTTGAACCAGGAGAAATAGAGGATAGTGGCCACCGTCAGCCGGTACAGCCACTCAGAGCTGGCGTCCGGCATGAAGTCTGTGCCCTGAAGCCAGACCCAGAGCAGCAGCACCAGCCACAGACCCAGGAAGTGCAGGGCCACATAGCTGGGGAAGAGGGCTGAGAACAGGGCCACAGCCAGGACTCGGGGCCACAGCAGCAGCAGGTTCCACAGGAAGTAGATCACGGAGGAGCCCCAACCCAGCAGGGGCTTGGAGGGGAGGCAGGTGCGCAAGGCCCGGTGGTAGTCAAGCAGTGCCCACGAGATGCCCAGGAAGGACGTGCAGATGCCAACCCCTGCAAAGAGTAAGCAGGAACAGTGAGTACCGGGGCCAGCCTGCCTGGCACTCCCCAGGGGTCACAGGTACCGTGGGGGCCCTCCCAGCAACCCTGTGGTGGGTACTAATAAATATCCCCCATTTGTTGAAGGCAAATCTTCAGCTGGAGAAGACCCAGTGAGTTCCTATAACCAAAAATAAAGCTACAACTCCTAATATGGAACCAGCCCCTCACCACAGTGCTTTGCTGCTCAGGTGCGATTCAGGTATTTTTCAAAGATGACAGGGTATGACTTGTGGCTCACTCAGCACTCTGCACCCCTGGCCCTTGGCTGAGCATCTTCCAGGGCCCCATAACCCTTTCTGGGAAGAGCACAAGCCTTTTTTGTATCTGAAAATCAGCAGTCTCAGTTCCCTCTTAGTCCAAAAAAGGAGTAGAAAATCCCATGGGGTGGCAACAGCTCTGGCTAAAGCTGCCCTCAGGGCCGGGAGAGACGTCCCTGCCATGTGGACAGAAGGTCTCCCCACTCCCTTCCCCTCAAGACTAGAGGCCGTCGGACCGACCCCTGGTCTTGATTTTCCAAGATCCGGAAGTTTACGACAGGGGTCCTAGGGTACTCTCCCACCTCCTGGTCGCCCATCCTGGAGCAGAAGCACAAGGACCTCCAGGGAGGGATAGAAGTGGCACCGGAACATCTCCAACTGCTTCCTCCCCTGTCCCTGTCCACTGCAGTCATTTGGCTGATCTTTACTGGGAGCCTATTATGTACCCAGAACCCACTCCTAGCCTGGAATCAGATCTGTCCATTACCCTCGCCCAGGTCTTAGTAGGGCTGATGTTCTTCCAGTTTGCCCAGGATGCCACCTTCTGTGACCTTGACAAGCTTTGCCCAGGAGGTTAGGTCACTACAAGCACATGCCCCATTTCCCTGGCCTACTCCTCCATTACTCTGTAAGCCCCAGCTTGAAGAGCCCTAGGTCACCCACCCTGACCCCACACCACTCACTCTGCTGTGTCAGGTATCCCTGTAACATGCCACCCACCTCGTCTACAGTCTCATCACACAGTAATTATCTATTTCCTTATCTCTGAGCTCCTCGAGGGTAAAAAACAGACTCTGCTCACTTGGGATCCCCCAGCAGCCCAGTACCTGGCACTTAACAGCAGTCAAAGAGATATTTGCTAAATAAAAAGTAGAGAAAATCTGTCTGGCCCCCATACCCGCTACCACACACACAGTGCAGACTATCTGCACTTGGTCCTAGTTCTAAACACCCCCCCACCCTCAGCAGACAAAAACATGTGCCCAATGAGTGCCACACGACCCAGGGCAAGTCACTCACCTTTCTGCACCTCTAAAAATGGAGATGGAGGCCGGGAGCAGTGGCTCACGCCTGTAATCCCAGCACATTGGGAGGCTGAGGCGGGCGGATCACCTGAGGTTAAGAGTTCGACCAACATGGAGAAACCCTGTCTCTACTAAAAATATAAAATTAGCCGGGCATGGTGGTACATGCCTGTAATCCCAGCTACTCGGGAGGCTGAGGCTGGAAAATCGCTTGAACCTGGGAGGCAGAGGTTGCGGTGAGCCGAGATCACGCCGCTGCACTCCAGCCTGGGCAACAAGAGTAAAATCCCGTCTCAAAAAACAAAATGGAGATCAATATAGCACAGACCTACAGGGCTGCTGTGAACATGAGCAAGGGTGACTGTAAACGCTTCCCCTTGGGCCTGGCTGATAGCTGGCGCTCGATTGTGATGGCCGCTATTACTGTTTTTTCAATCAATATTGTAGACTCAGACTAGCAAGATGAAAGGGCCCTTGGAGATCGAATCTAACCCTCATCTTCCACAGGAAGGCTCTCCAGGACACACAGCGAGTGACAGTAGAGTAGGGACTGCTTCCTTGAGAGGCTGTGGCATTTACGGCAGCGATGGAGGAAGGCAAAGGGGGAGCCCTGGACCCTGAATTGGATGTGAGTGGGGACCCTATTTAGCTTGGCTACTGTCTGGGTCTGTGAAAATGGGCAAGTCAGCTGGGCACAGTGGTTCGTGCCTGTAATCTCAGCACTTTGGGAGGCCAAGGCAGGTGGATCACGAGATCAGGAGTTAAGACCAGCCTGGCCAAGGTGATGAAACCCCGCCTCTACTAAAAATACAAAAATTAGCTGCGCATAGTGGCGGGCACCTATAATCCCAGCTACTCAGGAGGCTGAGGCAGAGAGTTGCTGAGGCAGAGGAGAACCTGGGAGGTGGAGGTTGCAGTGAGCTGAGATTGCACCACTGCACTCCAGCAGAGGCAACAGAGTGAGACTGCGTCTCAAAAAAAGGGAAAATGGGCAAGTCACTTTCCTTTCATGGGAAAAAACCCTCCCAAAGTTCCTCACTATAAACTTCACCCATGCTTAGGGCCCTTCAAGCCCCTGCCCCCGCCTCTCCCTTCTGCCTCTCCCTTTTCCAGTCACTCAACGTGTCGTACCGCAGCTACTTGTGTTAGTCTATCATCCCGGCAGGGCAGGGGCTGGGCTCATCTTGTTCACTGCTGCGTCCCCGGCACAGTAACAGGCACAGAAGAGATGCACAATGAAAACCTGACTAGATGAAGGTGCTCAATATATTGTTTGTTGGGTTTGTTTTTAATTTTGTTGAGATGAGGTCTCACTATGCTGCCCAGGATGGCCTCCAACTCTGGCCTCCAGCGACCTGTGCACCTCAGCCTCCCAACGTGTTCAATTGTCTCTTAACTAAAAAGTTACCTACTCTGTATCAGGCACCTTACACACTTTATCTCTGTTATCTTCAAAATTGTAAAAATTAAATTAGGATTTGTGGGCCGGGCACAGTGGCCGACACATGTAATCCCATCACCTTGGGAGGCTGAGGCAGGAGGACTACTTCCTCTCAGGTGTTCAAGACCAGCCTGGGTAACAAAGTGGGACCTCATCTCTACAAAAAAGAAATTAAAAACTAGCCAGCATGGTGACACATGCCTGCAGTCCCAGCTATTCGAGAAGCTGAGACAGAAGGATCACTTGAGCTTGGGAGGTCAAGGCTGCAGTAAGCCATGATCAGGCTGCTGTACTCCACTATCGGCCATGACAGTGAGGCTCTATACCAGGAACTTATGTACCAGGAAATGGGCTTTCTTTGCATCATCTCACTTAATCCTTTCATCAACCTTATGAGGCAGGAGTATTTATATCCATTTTTCAGATGAGAACAAACATACTCAAAGAGGTCAAGGCATTTGACTTTAGGTTTCAAGCCAGATCCGCCTGACTAAAGCCTGTTCTCCTGTTTCTAAGCAACCTTTATAAAAAACAGCTCCGACATTTGAGGGAGACCCCCGCCCCAAGCTATGAAAGGGGGACCAGCCACTGGCCTTCACTCACACTGGTAGCACTCAGCCTGGCCGCTCTGCAGTATGATGGCCAGCACCAGCGTGAGCTGTGGTGTTGTCTCCAAGAAGGTCTCAAAGAGCCGCAGCATGCTGATGTCCAGGGAGAGGAAGTCCGTGTAGGCCAAGTCAAACTCAGAAGGCTCCTCCTGCCGCCATACCAGCAGCCCCTGCTGCAGCCCCTGCATGCACCTAGGCAGCACACACAGATGCCCAGAGGGCCAGGTTAGTGTCCTGTGAAGTCCTCGGCCTCCCATCCATCTAATGAATGTACACAGGCTCCAACCCGGCTCCTTGCGTCAATGCTATAGGGCCTTTGGCAGTGTTCTAACCTCTACTGAACTTGTTTCATCTGTAAAATGGGGATCAATACACCTTCTACTCCTGCTGGCCAGGTGCTGCCCCAAGCTCATCACATTGTCCTGTTTACTTCTCACAATAGCCCATTTTACAATGGAAAAACAGAATCAAGAAGCTAATAAGGGCTGGGTGCAGTGGCTCGCGCCTATAATCCCAACACTTTGAGAGGCCAAGGCAAGAGGATCACTGGAGGCCAGGAGTTTGAGATTAGCCTGGGCAACACAGCAAGCCCTATCTCTACCAAGAATTTGTTTTTAATCAGTTGGGCATGGTTTTGTGAGCCTATAGTCCAAACTACTTAGGAGGCCGACGCAGGAGGATCACTTGAGCCCAGAAGTTCAAGGCCACTGTGAGCCATGATTGTGCCACTGCATTCCAGCTTGGGCAACAGAGACCTTGCCTCTTTTTTTTTTTTTTTTTTTTCTTTTTCAGAGACAGAGTCTGCTTCTGTCACCTGTTGCCCAGGCTGAAGCGCAGTGGCACAAACTTGGCTCACTGCAACCTCTACCCCCCAGATTTAAGCAATTCTCCTGCCTCAACTTCCTGAGTAGCTGGGATGTTGGGATTACAGGCGTGCACCACTACACCTGGCTAAGTTTTGTATTTCTAGTAGAGATGAGCTTTTGCCATATTCAGCAGGCTGGTCTCAAACTCCCGACCTCAAATGCTTCTCCACCTCAGCCTCCCAGACTGTTGGGATTACAGGCGTGAGCCACCATGCCTGGCTAGATCCTACCTCTTTAAAAAAACATTCTCTTTGTGTAGTCTGAAAAAAAAAATTATAAGCAGCTATTAAGTACTGGAATGAGGATTTAGATCCAAATGGAAAGGTGTGCTATAAAGTTGCCTGAGGCAGTTCTCAAACTTTAGTGTGCCCAAGATCTCCTGGGATCCTGTGGGCAAGAGGAGCCACTGGGCACTTCTGGGCACAGACCAGATGGGGTCAGACTCTGCCTTACCCTGGCCACACAGGGGAGGAGCTGGAGGAGGGTTAGATTGGAAGGAGGTATCCCATTTAAGAGGCTGGCCCTGAGTGGTTAAGGATGGAGATTGGGGCAGAGTTAAGAGAGTACAGAGGTTGGACAGACAGGCCTGGGGTACCCACTGGGATGAAGAGTAAGTGGAAGATGCACCAAGGACCATCCACTCAGAACTTTGCTCTAGGTTGCCTATTGGGAGGAAACCCTGTTGACTCATCACAAGCTCACTCACCAGACATTTACTGTCACTTCCCCTGGATAGACCAGAGCACACTGAGGAGCAGGCAGGCGGGGTGGACTGGGGCTCTCCCTCAGCAGAGAGGTTCCCCAGTGGCCTGGCACGGGCCCCTGCCTCAGCCTAGTCACAGGTAGAAACAGAACCCCTGTTTCCAAAGCCAAAGCCAACACAGTCTGTCTGACTCAAGCTCAGCAGAAATCCAGGCAGCAAGATGCATGAGGTTGTCCAGGATTGAGGGCTCATCAGGCCTGCCCAGGACTTAACAACTGCATCCCTTCATGCCCACCCAGGGTTTTCTGATGTCTCTACAATCCCTCAGGCAAAAACTGTCACAGTCAAAGCTCCTCTCCTCTACTCCTGGAGACCCCATGCAGCTTTGTCAAGGCAAGATCTCAAGACTTCGTAAAAACAGATTCAAGAGCAGATCCTGACCCAGCCACCCTATCCAACCGACACACCCTATGCTCTGGCTTCATCGCATGCCTCTGAGCCCTAGGTTTCAGCTTCCCCATCTCTACACAGCTCCACCAGGTCCAAAAAGGAGCAGAATCCACACACATTTTCTATGACCCAGCTGTGCCCAGCCCTGGCTGGCTCCATGGGCCCACGCCCATGTGTTGGAGGCCATCTCTGCCCTCTTGCTGAATCTGGGGTGGGAAGTCAAGGTTCAGGGAGAATAAAACCGGGCAGACAGAGTGAGAGGCGGCCTTTGTGAGGGACAAGCCATGGGGTCAGGGCTGCTGAAACTCCTAGTAAGGCCCAGGTCATCACGAAGTGAGCTGAGGTTGCTGAGTGCTCACTCTGAGCCAGGGCAGTAGACAGGAGTCATTTCACTTCATCTTCACCAGGCAGGCACTATTGTCTCCCCACTGGAACAGCAACCAAACAGCCCCACTGAGAGGTCAGTGACTTCCCAAGGCCCTGCCCATTCTGAAACATGGGGTGTGGAACTGAATGTGCTGCCCCTGCCATTCCAGGCCGGACACTGTGCAAGGCACTTTCTCACTCTCACTCACTCCTCACAACAGGCCTGCTTGTCACACCTGCTTGGGGTGACTACCTCCTTTCTGTGGAGGAGGAAACTGAAGTTTAGAGAAATGCAGACGTGGGGCAAAGCCATAAGTGGATCCCAGAGAAGTCTGACTTCGAAGCCCATGTGCCTCTCTTTCTTACCTGGGCCTCAGTTTCTTCACCTGTGCCAGGAAAAGTAGGGCTAGGATGAAGGCAGTCTACTGTGATTCTCTTTCTGTAAAGGGCTGCACGCTCACCTGTAGGCCAGGCAACCACAGGACTTGGTTCCTTCTCCCTGTTACTTTCCCAGCATCTGGTGTGTCACCTGTACACTCAGAGAGGTCAAGGCATTTGTCCAAACTCACACAGCTGCAGAGTGACTTAAGGTTTCAAGCCAGATCTGCCTGACTAAAGCCTGTTCTGTTTTCTAAGCTTCTTAGTACAGGTGACCCAGTGACGGAGGTGCTGGGCTCTGATCCTCCTCCCCTCCCGGGGCGGGGCACTCACCTGTACAGGTAGCCCAACTGCAGGAGATGCAGCAGCGCCAGGCAGCGGCGCGGGGGCTGCGACCCGTGCAGGTCGGCGGGGTCGCCGCGCAGCCAGAGCCAGCTGAAGAGCTGCATCGCCACCGAGGCCAGCCCCAGCAGCGCCAGCACCAGACCCGCCCACAGGTAGCGGCCGCCGAGCGCATACTGGACGGCAGCCCACAGGTCCGCGCCCAGGTCGAGCAGGAAGGCAGCGGTGCCCAGTACGCCCAGTACCAGGTCCCAAAGGAGGGCGGGGCGGGACGACCCGGGCATGGCCCGGCAGCTTCTGCCTCCTCCACCTCCTCTGCGGTTGGGGCCTATCCTCTGGGCCGGGGGTTGCAGTGGCAGGAAGGAGGCGGACGCAGCCCTCGGGGCTGTGAAGGGCCCGGGCCTGCTGGGCGGGACTTCCCCGTCCCGCCCCGTCCGGGGAGGAGCGAGGCCCGCGGCTCTCCCAGGTCCCCAACTCAGACCCTCCGGTAACCCAAGGCCGCCGAGACTCTGCTTCCGCCGCCTGCCCGGGGGACCCCCTGACCCAGCTCAGCCAAGCCTGCAGACCAACCGATCTTCGCTTGGCAGGCTTCAAACGGCCTAGTTTTACGTTTGAGGCGCCCGGAGGCCCAAGAAAGCTAAGAGGGCGAGAGCCCAAGCTAGGACTTCGATCCCTCACACCAGCATTGTTGCAAAACAAAGCAACGAAACGCAAAGGCACAGTCTCATCCCTAAGTGCAGGACTTTGCAACAATTTGTGCGCCTGGATTGGGAGATAAGCGGAGGGCACTGGGAGGCTGAGTTCACGCCAACGATCCGAGTGGGGGGAGGGGAGGGCGTTCGGTTCCAGAGAATGCGTTAACCTCATTTCCATACGTAAAGGAATACAGGCCTGGCGCAGTGGCTCAGGCCTGTAATCCCAACACTTTGGGAGGCCCAGGCAGGCAGCTCACCTGAAGTCAGGAGTTCGAGCCAGCCTCACCAAGATAGTAAAACCCCGCCTCTATTAAAAATACAAATTAGGCCGGGCGCGGTGGCTCACGCCTGTAATCCCAGCACTTTGGGAGGCCGAGGCGGGTGGATCACGAGGTCAAGAGATCGAGACCATCCTGGTCAACACGGTGAAACCCCGTCTCTACTAAAACTACAAAACATTAGCTGGGCATGGTGGCGCGTGCCTGTAGTCCCAGCTACTCAGGAGGCTGAGGCAGGAGAATTGCCTGAGCCCAGGAGGCGGAGGTTGCGGTGAGCCGAGATCGCACCATTGCACTCCAGCCTGGGTAACAAGAGCGAAACTCGGTCTCAAAAAAAAAAAAAAAAAAAATACAAATTAGTTGGGCGTGGTGGCACGCGCCTGTAATCCAGCTACTAGGGAGTCTGAGGCAGGAGAATTGCTTGAACCCAGGAGGCGGAGGTTGCAGTGAGCCGAGATCGCACCACTGCACCCTAGCCTGGGCGATAAAGGGAGACTCTGTCTCAAAAGAAAGAAAAGAAAAAAGAAGAGAAGATAAGGAATACAACACAGAATCAAACCTACAATGAGCTTTGTTTTGTGAATAAAACATAAAACACAAAAGAAATGTGCTTCTAGGGGGGGTCTTGGGACTTCATTTCTGTTTCTGGTTTGTTTTGGGAGAGGGTCTGGCTCTGTCGCCCAGGCTGGAGGGCACTGGCGCGATCACGAATCACTGCAGGCTCCTGGGGCTTCACTCCCTGATCTGTTGTCCTATTTAAGTTCACTCCGCAGGCGCAGAGGAAATGGCAGAAAGCCCAGCTCTGGATGGTCCTGGGCGCTATCCCCGTTACCCATTACTAGGAGGAATGTGAGCCCGGTGGGTCACAGCGCTAGCGTGCACAGGCCCAGCAGGGCCGCCAGCAGCAGCGGGAGCTGGGGCATGGGGTCGGTGCCAGAGGCATACAGGCAGGCAGTGTAGGCATCGAAGTCCACCTGACGCATGGCACACACATGCTGCGTACTGCAGGCCTCATCGCAGATCCCAGCATCGTAGCTGACCGAGTTGTAGGCATAGTAGCGCTGCAGTTCGCCCTGGTCGCTGGCAATGCGATCCAGCGCTGCCTCCATGGAGCGGGCGCTGGCGTCCGGCACCCCGAAGGCCTCGGTCAGCCGGTACTCGAGCTCCCAGCGCGGCTTCCCCAGAGCATTCGCCTGGCTCAGGTTCATAAAGTAAGTCACCATGTCCTGGAGAAACGGTGCGGGGTGGGCCGGCTGTGAGCAGCTGTCTGTTTCCATCCTCATCCTGCACCTCACATTTGCCCCCATGTTCTTTAGAGCAGTGATCATGACCACTGCAAGTTATTGAGCATTTAGCTGCGCACCCAGTGTGCTTGGCAGATACCCTCTGAATCGAATGAGGTAACTGCACTTATTTCCCCCATTTCACAAATGAGGAAACTGAGGTCTAAAGAGGTTAACTCACTTGGCCAGGGGCATAGAGGTATTCAGTGGCAGAGACAGGATTGGAACCCAGGTTGTTTACCCCAAGCCTGTGCAGTTCCTGTCCCACCACGATAGGGGACACACAGAAGATGCTCAGTAAATATTTACATAATGAATAGATAAAAGCAATGTAAAAGAGCGGCATGAAGCATGAGAGGCTGAGAGAGGTTAAACTGTAGACTCCCAGGGCCCAGGTGCATGTTCATGGCTAGACTCTGCAGGGTTGATCAGTCCAACAGATTCCAGGTACATTTATGAACCTGCTTCAGGCCACTGCAGATGGGATAAAAGGAGCTACCCGTATGAATGGCCACTTTGGGTCAGGCACATTCCATTATTTCAGGTAGTCTTCCCCAAACCTTGTGAGCTTCTGTGACTCCCATTTTACAGATGAAGCAAGTGAGGCACAGAGTTTAAAAGCTCAAAAAGCTTGTCAGTGGTAGAGCTAGGATTCAACCTCAGGGCTGACTCCCTCCCTGAGAAGAATGTAGGGCCTGTTTGAGGGTGGGGGTTGGGGTCCCTCAGCCTGCTCAGACCCTCATTCCCTTGCTCAGACCCTCGGAGTGCCCATGTGGACAACAGCCCTCTCTTATAACCCCTCCGATCTCTTCTTAATCTACATTTACTAGAATCAAGGACCTGGGTTAGCTCATCCAGCCTCTGGCTTGAAATGTCCTCTCCACTCCCAGATCACATCTCTGTCCTCAGCTCCTCAAGCTCCAACTTACCCCCTCCCTGGCCACTTTCATTTGATGCCATTTAGCCATCCCAAAGTTGAAAGGTCTAAAACCAGACCTCTGACTGACCTTCTGAAGCTTGATCACCCTGCCACTGATTTTAGTAACCAGCAGCCACGGCCTTTCCATTGCACAGGCCAAAGCCTTGGAAGCCTCCTGTATTCATCCCTTTCTCTCACAGCCCACATCCACTCTAGCAGCAAACCTGCCTCCAAAATTCATCCCGGTCCCGGCACTTCTCACCACCCACTGCCTCCACCCTCGCCAAGCCACCATCCTGTCAGCTGGGGTTTGTCCTTCCCTCCTAAGTGCCTCAGTGCTTCCCTGCCTACCCCTACGGCCTGTTCCCTGCACGGCAGACATGATGATTCTGTAAAATTATGTTACAGGATTTCATTCTTCTGCACCAAATCCTCCAAATCCAGAGTCCTCATTGCGGCCTGCAAGATCTGACCTCCTTTCCCACTCTCCCCTGTGCCTCCCACTGTGGCCACCTGGTCTCCATGCTCTTCCCCTGACCCACCAAGCACATTCCCACCCTGCAGCCTCTGACTTGCTGTTCCCTCCACCTCCTCCAGATACCCACATGACTCACTCCCTCAATACACTCAGAACTCAAATGGCACCTTATGTGGACACTTTCCCCTGCCCACCTACCTAACACAATACACACCTCTCATAGCTGTCACTGTTTTGATTTTCTGCTTAGCCCTTCTGTCTGTGCCATAATTAATTTTACATATTTATTGTTCCTCTCCTGTAAGATGTCAGGTTCAAGAGAGGGGTGACTTTGCTGTGTACATTTACATACCTCCTGAGATTAGAAAAGGGACTGGCACATGGTGCAGACTTAATGCATTTTGTTGGCTAAATAAAGGAATACTTTTTTTCATCTCAACAACCACAAGTTCATCTTAAGAGGTGAGGGATTGTTCGATGAATTAGGGGCTGGAGTCTTGTCTGTGTATGGAAAAGGTGGACAATGGGCTTGAGGTCAGACTGTGGGAAGCCTTGAGTACTACACCAAAGAGACACAACTTTACCTTGAGGGCACTGGGGAGCCATTGAAGGTTTTTGAGCAGGACAGAAACAAGATGAAAGTGGTGCTATAGGGCCGGGCGCGGTGGCTCAAGCCTGTAATCCCAGCACTTTGGGAGGCTGAGGCGGGTGGATCACGAGGTCAAGAGATCGAGACCATCCTGGTCAACATGGTGAAACCCCGTCTCTACTAAAAATACAAAAAATTAGCTGGGCATGGTGGCGCATGCCTATAATCCCAGCTACTCAGGAGGCTGAGGCAGGAGAATTGCCTGAACCCAGGAGGCGGAGGTTGCGGTGAGCCGAGATCGCGCCATTGTACTCCAGCCAAGATAAGTGGAAAACCATCTCAACAAAAAAAAAAAAAAAAAAAAAAGAAAGTGGTGCTATAGAAGATTAGTTTCTTCTGTCATGTGTAGCAGATGGGCCATAGCAGGGCAGGGCCGGAGGCAGGGAGTCTAGGTATGAGGCTGTGACAGTCATCAGGGGAAAAGGAGACTTGAGGAAACATTGCCCTGACTTGGTGGCAGGTGCCTCCAGGGTTCTGATCCTGAGTTGGAGAAGGGTGGCGGGAAATCGACCTTCCTGAGGCTCAGTGGTCAGGGGAGGGTGGATAAGCTGAGAGTTAGGGAAGGCAGTGATACATTTAAGCCCCTCCAGCCCTCCTCCTCTGGCCTCCACAAGACCACTGACCTTCAGGCTCAGTGTGGCTCGGTCGTATTCGAATACCCGGATGGCTGGATTGTTGGCCCCATTAACCACTCCAGGTAATGTGGTTTTCCATGGGGTGACTCCAGGTGTGATGAACATGGCGCTTATGGGGGCACCTGTCAGGAGAAAGACAGCAGGACTGAGAGGGTCTGGGGAGGGAAGGAGGTACAGAGCTGCCAGTTGCCCTCCAGGCTGAATACCTGCATCATCATAGAGCATCCGAAAGCTGTCGGTGTGGTGGTGCCCGAAGAACTGCCCTGCTATGACACGATGATGCTTCCGTACCACCTTCAGGTACTTCTCGTTGAAGCCCTCCCGGAACCATGCCTTGTTTTCCGTCTTTTCGAAGAACCCCGGGGGCACATGGCCAACAATGTACACCTACAAGGGGGTGGTTTTCAGAAGGGGCTCACAGATGCTCTCTCCAGCCCCTCATTTCTACTTCTTAAAACCTGCAAATCACCCCAAAGGTAGGTAGATGTGCTCAAATATGTCTCCTCTCCAAAGGCCTCCTGGATTCCATTCCCTTTCCCAACTTCGTGCCTGCCACCTAGAGAACCCTTCTCCTTTTCACTTCTGTAAATCCTCCCCATACTTGAAAACCTAACTCAAAGAGCACCTCCTCCATGAAGCCTTCCAAATCCTTCAAAAACTACTCTTCTCTTGGAGAGCTTGGGCACTGAAATGAAACCGTTCTTGCATGGTTGTGTGGCATATGCTACGTGGTAATGTGCATTCATGCCTTACATTTCTTGAGTCACTCAGCTGACAACACCTGGGCACTTGGCCCCCATGGCAGTTAGAACAGGGGACAGGGTTAAGTGCATGGGTTTTGGAGTCAGACTGTGGCTTAGACCAGCTGTGTGTCACCTCTCTGAGCTGCTCTCTTCTCATCTGGAATAGCATCTAGCTGGTGGGGTTTTGAGAGCAATGGACTCATTCCTGAGCCAGGGTTTCCGTAGTTCTGCTACCTAAGATCATCTGT